ACCGGTGTTTCCACCCTGCGGCACGACAGCCAATTTGCGGTCGTTGCAGTATTTCAGCACCTTGCTAACCTCCTCTGCATTCTTGGGCTTCAGAACAAGCCGGGTGTGGCCACGGTACTTGCGCATCCAGTCGCTGTTGAAGGGTTCGATATCGTCCTTCGCGTCGGTGGTCACGCCATCGATCACGGCCGATTGGGAGCCCAGAAGTTCCTTGAAGTATGTAACATCTTCCGCAGAGATCTCAGCGAATTTAGGGTCGCGCTTGAGGTTGGGGTAGGCGTCGCTGGTGAACTTGATCTGGCGGGAATCGGAGCGAGTGGAGCTGGCGCTGAAGGTGCGCACAGTCAAAGGTGTGATGGATTGGACAGTGCGAATAGCAAGACTGGGACGAGGCACTCGGGCCCGCCGCAAAGCAGCTGTGATGTTCCTGACACCGGACATGGCTGAGGCTTTCAAAAAGGAACAATTTTGAGAATGTCAAGTGGAGATACTCCGATGGTCCGATTTGCCTCCGAGAGCTCGCAGGTCTCGGGGATTTTCGGCCTTCTATATTCAATGCTTGTAGAATCTTTAGAGCAGTCTATATTGTTTAATTGGTAGTTTGCATAGATAATATTATACAAATTCAGTAAATATAGTTGCATATTCACCGGATAATGCCTAGCACTCGAGACCGTTCCCTTTCTGTTTTAGTGCTCACCTCTTGCCGCCTTTTGATCTCAGAGTAAAATTGGACAGGTGTATCATATGGCTGTATATTCCCGGCCCCATTATGGTTATGAAGAGAGTCGCGTGCAGGTCCTAAGTTTGTATCATTCCATCCTGACTTGTATACGGAGTACATCCTTTTGCCCTCTGGCTCTAACCCATCGGACCAAGCCTTTCCCTGTCACGGGATATTGCTGGTCTCCAGTTAAGAATTTGGGTGGGGGAAGATGCATCGAAGGCACAGACAGTACTCCATACGGAGTATCCTGATTCGTAATAGATTTAGGTTCAAGATGACAACAAAAAGACCCCCTTCTCCCCTGCTTCCCAGCCTCCAGCTCCGTATTGGAACCCCCAAACACCCGCGCGACTGATACCTCAGCAGTTCTCTGGCGATATTTCAATAATAAGCCCTGGGCATGTCAGATTGGTGCTGGTCGTACCTATATGGCAGGTTCACAACAGAACAGAACAGAAACAGAAACAGACTTCGGTCATCAGGTGTCTTTTTCGAGTTGATAGAGGAAAGTAGGTGGCTGAATGGAAAAAAATGGCAGTTGATGTACACGGTTCTACCCTCGCAGGGTTCAGGCTTCTTGTGGACGAATACTACGCCTTCTCATCCAGTTGCGCGAGAGCGTCGGATAGTGAGATGCGAGATCCGGGGGCCGCCTTGGTCAGACCATCAGCGATAGACTGCAGTCTTCTACCAATCCCAGGTGTGCCACTTTTTTCGGCGAGAGCCGAAAGTAATCTTCCATAAGCCCAACAATCCGTGGCAACCCGTGCCTCAAACAGTGTGTTGGCAGGACTTGTTTCACTGTTTTGCTGAATGAGAACCTGCATCTCTGGTGAAAGCCATTCCCACACGTAACCACCGGTTCCGCTGACATCGATAAGGACGGCATTTTTATTGGCATCCAAAACGATATTCGACGGCTTGATGTCAAGATGGGTTCGCCCTCTTTTGTGTAATGTTCTTAATGCTGTCCCAATTTGTAAGGCCCATTGTACTGGCAAGGTATCAAATTGAAACTCATCCTCAAAAATTTGCTCAAGTGACCCTCCGGAATAGTATTCAAGAAGAAATCCTGTGATTACTGTTGGCATATCGGTTGACGGGCAGGTCTTATATGGGTTCTCTGATACAACTAGACCAACTAGCTGCGCGATGCTCGGAAGTCCGCGAAGTTGTGCAAGGACATCAATTTCGTTTAACACATGGTTCGTGTCTTCAGGCTCATAGATAGGGCGGTCAATCGTTTTATAAGCAAACAGGCGTTGCTCGAACACAACTATGGAGACTGTTGGAGCTATAACCTCAACAGTATGCAAACAGCGAGCCTCAAATGTTGGTAAACATCGTTCCCACTCTAGAGCCGAGTATGTGACCCTCTTTGGATCTTCTGCAATCTTGCAGTACATTCGATGGGCAACGGTAATGAAGAAGTTCACTGGATTTTGATACCCATCCCGTATAATGATCGAGTTTTGACTCTGCTCGGTCAAGTTTAGAGTAATGTTTGTCACAGTATCGTCCAAAAGCTGCAATTGGACAAAATCAATCGCTTCAAGGAATTCTCGAAAGACGGACCGGCGTTTCAAATAACCCAGACTTAGTACTTGTTCTGGCAGTGACCAATCCACGGTAACTTTGATCCACCATGAAGAGTCATTGTTGTGGAATATCAGGGTCTGTGATGGACGGTCACCGTTCCAGTCTTGAAACGACTTGAAGTCCAACCTGTATAAGGGAGGCGTCTTTTCGGGCATTGCGATCAATTGCACAAAGTGGGCTCTTTTGTTGCTAGAAGGAAAATACGCAAAATTCTTGAAATAATTTGACCTACGAACTAAACATCACAGTATAAACGACCTTGTGGGGCTGTTCCATTAAAGCTAAGTGATCAGAGTTGCTCACTGATTGGACACAGAGTGTCACTGAGTAATCAGCGAGCATCCAATGAGCACCCGTCTTACATAGTATAAGTCATCATGCACGTGACTGTTCTGTGAGTTCGTGCTGATATCTAACCGGCCCCTTGAAATTTTTTTACCAAAAATACGGACCCTCGCAAGCGAGGGTCTGCCACCCATGTGGTGGGGCCCACCTAGTAGGCGGTTTTTTTTCAATTTTTGCACTTTTACCTTGATCACCAACCATACCACCAAAAATGCCTAAATCTAAAAAAATTTTAGAGGTTCAGATTCTTCAAGCTCTGGATTCTCTCTCTGAGTAATCTAAACCGAATATCGCGAAAACTGCGCGAGAATTCGCGGTAGCTGAAACCACCCTTCGTCGCCGGTGGAAAGGTGGAAAATCGTTATTTTAACGACTACCCAATGGTCGGAAGCTTAGTCCAGTATAAGAGAAAGCTTTATGTGAATATATTGATTACTTTGATGCGGTTGGATCTTCAATAAACCGTCGACAAATTGTGGTTACTGCCGATTCAATTCTTGAGGATGACCATTCCGACCCGAATACTCCTCTACCCTACGTTGGCAACTATTGGCTAAAACGTTTTCTTAAATGTAATCCTCAGTACTATATACGACAATGGCGAGCTCTTGATATTGAAAGAGTTAACGTACTCGATAAAACTATGGTAGAAAGGTGGTTTTAAGACTATTAACGCGTGGTGCTTGAGTATGGTATATACTAATAAGATATCTACAATTTTGACGAGACTGGCTTCTAAATTGGTATCGGTCGCGATTAATTTATTGTTACTAGGTATCTATAAAAGAAGCTCTTTAATAGATTAATTACTAATCGCGAATCTGTTACTGTTTTAGAAGCAGTTTCTGCTAATGGTTTTACCTGTCTACTACTTATTATCCTAAGTATAAAATAGGTTTTACTTCGTTAGTTTGATTCTATTAAAGAAGATAAGTATATAGCTATATCTGATACTAGCTATATTAATGATCTATTAGTATTTCAATGGATTCAGCTATTCTATAAGTGGATAATTGGTCGAATAATTGGTTTAAAGAGGCTTATTCTTTGCGACCGTTTTAGATCCCATTTAATACGTTAATTTGTTGAATTTTATAAGAAGAATAATATCATTTTATTCTTCTTACTCTTATATACTAGTTATATACTTTAACCCCTCGATGTCGGTATGTTTAGTATTTATAAACATTGGTATAGTAAGGCGGTTGAGGCGGCTATAATAAGCAGATACCGCAGATTTTTAAAGGATGAATTCCTATTCTCAATTGCTGAAATTTGACAAAAAACCTTCCGGCTGCATACAATTAAGCTTGGGTTTAAATTAACTGGCCTCTAGCCTATTAATTCTAAGCTTATTACCGATGAATTAGATTCATACGATCTATATGATGATAATTTACCTCGGCCGGATATACTATCAACTATCTTACAACATACTGAGTTTAGTACTCTAAAAACCACTGAAAGAATTCGAAGAATCAGTGTTCGTCTTAATTAAACCGATCCTATTACTCAGCGGTTTAAAGAAGGGCTTGTAAAGCTTGTAAAGGGAGCTGAGGCTTAGGCTACTTTAGCACTTTAGCTATAGTGGGAATTCGATTGTATAGAAGCGATTATGGGGGCGTGCCATACCCGGTATGATGCTTCTCGCTAGAATGTTCGAATTACTGGTATCATTAATTCATCCCAGGTTAAAGAAATGAAGCGGAAAGAATATAAATTGACTGAGAAAGCCGATCAAGAAAAAACGAAGCGGAAGTGGAAGAAGGTCTTGATCGAGGTTAGGAAGTATAGAAGGGTACAAAAACGGCTGGGGAAGTGATTTTTTTTTGTATTCTAGTAGTAAATTGGTCAATGCATATAGTTCTTTCATTAAATTATTGAATTTACTACATGGTGGTGGTGTAAATGGTAATTGAAGTGAAAGTGTAAAAAAAACCGCCTACTAGGTGGGCCCCACCACATGGGTGGCAGACCCTCGCTTGCGAGGGTCCGTATTTTTGGTAAAAAAATTTCAAGGGGCCGGTTACTCTGAGAGCCTGAGTCTGAGCGCCCTCATTAAAGCGGCGGCAGCCCAAATAGGAAATCATATACACACCCCTAGTATCATATGGCATATCTAAACATGTATAAAGCACAGAACCGACTGGAATTGATTCAATTGATCGAATTCAGTGAATCCACATGTGTTGCCTGTCTACATAGGTGGCTTAATTATGTCCTCACTGTTATATCCACTGGGAGAAGTTAGTTACGTCACAGTTGGTCCCGCGGTTTCAGAAAGGAAATCCTCCCCATCTTCCTCCCTTAACCCATATCTACAACAAAAATGACATCTAACGTTCTTGTTACTGGAGCCAGTGGCTTGCTCGGCCGTTCTGTTTTCAACACCTTCCAGCACTCGGGCGTGTTGGTTGTTGGCCAGGGATTCACCCGCCCTGCCCCGCCTACTATCTTGAAGGCCGACCTGGAGAAGGAGGAGGATATCCGAATGCTGTTCGATGAAGTCAAGTATGTGTATTCCATTTAGATCTTGGTTATAGACATTAATCACCTTTGAACTATGCCTAGGCCTCAGATTGTCATCCATTGTAAGCTAGTTAATTGGCTGACTTGATACCCCATCATAGACTGACAGCTCACAGGCGCCGCAAACAGGTCCCCGGACCTATGTGACCAGCACCCAGATCAAGCCCGCAAGGTCAATGTCGATGCCACTCGAGCACTGGCTAAGGAATGCCAAGCTCGCGGCGCCTTCCTCATCTACATCTCGACCGACTACGTCTTCCCCGGCACCGAAGGCGAGGCACCATACGAGGCCAATGCCGAGACCAAGCCACCGAATCTGTACGGGCAATTGAAGCGTGATGGCGAGGTGGCCGTATTAGAAGAAACCAGTGCCTCAGGCATGGGCGTGGTGCTGCGCGTGCCGGTGCTGTACGGCACCGCCAAGAATAACTCGGAGAGCGCGATCAACACCCTCATCGACGCAGTAACAAAGGCTACGGATGAAAACGCCGGCGTAAAAATGGACGACTGGGGCATACGGTACCCAACCAACACCGAGGACGTGGCGCGCGTGTGTCGGGACATTGTCATCAAGTACCTGCGCGAGAAGGAGAAGCGGAAGGACTTCCCTCACATCCTGCAATTTACGTCCGAGGACCGTATGACCAAGTATGAGATTTGTCAGAAGTTGGCCAAGGTGATGGGTGTGGCCATTCCTGGAATGATCCCCAATAAGCAGGGCAATGATCCCAATTCGAGTGTCGTACGGCCTTATGATACACATCTGTCTACCAAGGCATTGACTGAGCTTGGGATTGATGTGCGAACAGTGGACTTCATTGCGTGGTGGTAAGTTCTCCCCGGGGTGTACCTATACCTTGTTTGTAGGTCTATGCTAACAACCCACAGGCGCCGGGAAATGGGTGCTTATAGGAAATAAGATCGACCGAATTTCATTCGCCTGTAAGGAATGATCAAATATAGAAAAGCCAAGCCCCGTTGAAAATCAGAAAGGAGAATAGCAAGCATGTCTGGAGTGAGACACTTAGATCTGATCGTCCTGTGGACCCGTAGATATCATCCAATAATAATCTCACATTATCCATTGAACAATCTAATAGTGCCAATAATGCCAATAGTCCTCCGTACCTGTCGATCATAGATATATACTCCATCAGGCCAACGTATATTGCACATTGTACTCCGACAGCGCGTGAAACCGCACGCGGCGCGTCGGATCCGGAAATGTTTGGCCAAGCCAACTGGGCAGGGACCTGACACCTGCCCACCTGCCCACCTGAACTTCTGGACAATCATGTTTCTCCTTTCTCCAACTCCTCGATGATCAACTACTGCATGCCAAGTGACTTCGGTGAGTCCAATCAATATACGATCTATCCAATGATCGATCCAACGATCGATTCCTACGAGCCAGCGAACCCCATGCACCAGCCTAGGCCGGCCCAATTGATGATCGGTGCGGGTCGCTTTTCCCCCTAACGAAACGCGAATGGTCGATTGAGAACAGGCCGGTTTGATCGCGAGCACTGGGATTGTGTTGAGTCAAATCCTGCGGACTTTTCCCACATTTGTCTCAATTGTGTTTTCCACCTTCTGTACACTTCCAGGAACCCGAATCGCACTCGCAGCACTGGCCGTTCGATCTTCGACCCGAAGGAAATTACCGGAAATTGCCATTTGGTTTAAGGCGACGCTAACCTTATCCTGGCGATAGAACGTGAAACACATAACGAAACTCTTGCGCCTCGGCCCCCGGGGGCGAATTTCAAGTGAGAAATTTCCAAAACATGAGTGAGAATAGTGTGACAGGCACGGCGCAATCCCTACCTCAAATGTTCTCTCGGTATCGTGGAATGCCAGGTGCGACAACTGGCGACGTCGAAATGGCCGCACCACCAGCGCCTGTGCATAGCATCGGAGAGCAGAACCCCTCGATCGCGAGGAGCCGTTCTCGATATCATCGAAATCGGCCACAGTCAAGTGGAAATGTCGCACCTCCTCCTGCAATCCCGGGCTACGCTCGGACTCAGCTGGAGCAGCGAGGTGAGCTACGACAAAATGAACGGGCCGCAACTAGTCGCCCTTTGGCGGAGCAAGATGAGGAGGAAGAGGAAGCACGTGAGGTGCACCGACAAGGTGCGATGGAACAATTGACTGGAGGGGAGATCTCGGCGCAACAACCCCGATCGGAACCTGTCCCGGCGCGCCCCCCGCACAGTTCCCACTCATCGAACGATGAGCATCGCAAGTCTTTCTTCCAGAAGGTCAAACTTTCCCGATCCAAGGTCCACCTCAAGAGAACCGAGTCCCCCCCAAGATACATCGGGGTGGGCGGAACCGGAATTGTTCCAGGAGTTGATGCTCCTGTCAGCGCTGTCAACGCCGGAGAGCGACATGCCCTTGTCAGATATGGAGATGCCGTCGCGGATCTCACTGTCACCCCGTCAACTCAAGTCCGGGATTTATTGTTAGATGCCACTAAGCACTTATCTCAGGACATTGATGCGGACAGATTCATTCTCATGGAGTCTTTCTCGCAAGTTGGCCTAGAGCGTCCCCTCCGCCGCTACGAGCATGTCCGGGAAGTCATGAATTCCTGGTCACACGATGCAGAGAACCAGTTCATCGTTATTCCCCCTCCAGCGTGGAAGCCCTCGCTCAGCTCGATGCTGGGAATGCCTCCAGTGGGCCACCATCCCCAGTGACTGTCCATATTTACCATTCCCAGCGTCGTCGCAAGTGGGATAAGCGATATGTTACTCTGCGTGCTGATGGACAAGTGACAATCTCAAAAAAGGAGGACACCGAGGACCGAACCAATATCTGCCATATATCCGACTATGACATCTACTTTCCTAGCGCTCGGGCGCTGAACAAGGATATCAAGCCACCCAAGAAGCTGTGTTTCGCAATCAAGAGCCAGCAAAAATCATCCATGTTTCTGTCGACCGAAAACTTCTTGCACTTTTTCTCGACCAGCGACAAGTCTATCGCAGATACATGGTACCGGGCAGTACAGAAGTGGAGAAGTTGGTATCTTGTCAACAAGAAAGGAGCAGCCCAGAAAGCAGAGACCGAGAAACTTGTGCAGCGCGCCGGGACGAAGAAATCGACGCATGAGCCGAGAAATGTGTACAACGAAGTCCCACTCCTAGAACGAGAGACTTCGGCTGAATCTTCGAGGCGCGAAAGCTCTGATCAACGGAGGCCGACAAGCTCCAAAGAGTACTTTGCTCGGAAGAAGACTCTTCGTGGATATGTGCCCCCTCCACCTTCATATTCCCAGACTATGATGCTCGACGCCGAAATGGACGGGCCTTTCGGCGACAAGCAGGCATTGATTTCAGGTATTTCTTCGCCCGAGGAAGGAGAATCTGCTTTTGCACCATCCGGACTCCTAGGCCGAACCTACACCCAGCGACAAAATGCTATGCGGGAACGGGAGGATCGCGATAAAAGAGCCAAGCAAGAAGCCTTTTCAGGCGTTGGCTTTATGAGCGGAGGATCCACACACACCCCCGGCCACGACTCAAACCCCAACAGCCGGACCAACACAATGACTCGTGCTCCCGATTCATCCAATTTCACTCGAACCCCATCTCTTAAGCAAAAGCCTCTGGTTGACCTAACCCCAGTCTTTGTCGAGCCACCGCAGCATAGCCGCAAGGGCAAGGGTCGCGGCGTGAAAGTCCAACCAGGCATGCAACTGATCGACGCTGCCACTGGTCCGGATCAGCCCCCGGGAGGAATCGCCATCCCACCCGCGACTTCTTGGAGACGGCCGGCCGCGGACACCACACCTCAGCGGCGAAACACTGCCCGCAGCGTCCGTCATCACTCAAACAAATACGCGGCCCCGATTTCTTCTGAAGGAAGCCCGGAAGCCCAGTTCACTGCAAACAGTTTGCTGGCACATTCAGCCAGCACTACTAGTCATTGGAATCCACGCACCGGACATGGTGTCGCAACGGGTGATCGCAATGCCACACGGCCATTGCTGGATATGTCTCCAGAGAATCCCTTTGCAGATGGCAGTCTGCTACGGCAGCTGTAGTGGTTTCATTCATCTTGTTTTCTTTTCCTTTCTTATGTACTGTTACGATGATCATGATTGAGTTTTTCGCGGGATTCTGTTTTGGTATACCTAGGGTCTCTTTACTTGGGCCACTGGCTGTTGAGTACAATTTCGTTGGCATTGATGCATTCCGTGTCTTTTGATCTAGAGATGAATTATTGATAGCCGGTTGTGGTTGACAGACGATTCATCTTTGTTAGAGATACCCATTTTATGTTGATTTAGCAATGAAGTGAAACTGAATATCTATCTTTCGCATTTATTTGACACTAATTCCGAAGTCATTTCTCATCATTTCTCACTTCAATCCAAGATTATTCTGACATCTCTTTCATTTTCCAGCGAAGCCTCTGAGAAGAGTCATCACACCATCTGACTTGTTGTCACATCGCGCCGAGAACTATCCCTCCACCCGCTTCGTCGTCCAACGCACAAGACCACTGGACTGATCAACACCAAATTCTATCCCAACCTTGCTCATTACCAAACAATTCCCAAGATGAATCAAGAATCCGCTAGCCAACCACGCGAGGAGCATAGATCTCCAGGAAGTCTCACCTGCAACGAAGGAAGGATACATGCTTTGATCCAGACCCGGGATGGAGAGCGACACTCCTTTTCCGGCACTATCAGCACCGATCTACATCTCGTCGTCAACAATGCAGACGTGGAGTACTTCGATCTCGCCGAGGACAAGCCATACTGCCAAGAGTTCAAGGCACTGATTGGTCCGCTTCACGCTAACTTCTGGTGGCAAGGGGGGGCTATACACCTCTCTGGGAAATTACTGTACTGCATCGATGAGACGGTCGAAGTATCTGGAGAAGGATGGTGGGGCGATATTGACAATAATGAGTATGAGGAGAATGGCGAGGAGTGTTACAGTGATGAGAGCGACGACCCGAGAGCATGAGCTTCAAATTTCTAGGATTTCGTTTAATCAGAAATGACATGCTACCCACTCAATTATCTGGCCATATTGACTGCTATTTGCATTCGACATTCAAACGGATATGTGTCTGATAGTCAGCGGGACTCGACTATCTCTGACTTTGCGTCGATCTCCTATGCAGTAGCGCTTCGTTATTCAGACTGAAAATACAAATAGCACAAAAGAAAAGGTCGTCATTTATCTGCTCGTACGGTACATCCTAACACCAGACTCCTTCAGCAAAAGCCCATCAAACAACCAAAAAAGACACACACTGCCACAAGAAACATTCCTTTTGCTCTGATCAAACCAATCATGTCACCCAGCAAATAGCAAAATAAGGACAAAACTTGCCTTCAACCATCCTCTAATCTCAATAAGCACGATAAACCTTGAAACTATTAAACTCCCAATAAGCATCAACAAACTCGCCAGGATTATTCGCAACAAAGCTTGAACAAGTCGCGGGACAATGATACATAGTCTCATAAAACTGCTTCTGAGCAGCAAGTTCACCACAGAGATCAATATTAACAATGATACTCAAGTTCTTGAAATGCGTCGCAATATCGCAATTCGTACTCGGGAAATCCGCCAGCGCAACGCCCCAGCTACTCGGATCCGGATTCCCAGCAGCGACATCAGCAGGGACAGCTCCACGCGGGAAGAGCCAAGCGCGGATCCCAGCATCGCGGAGTTCAAGGGCATAAACACCTCCACCACGGTTGTTCATCGCCTCTCCGTAAGTATACTCATCACCGATGACCGCGCAGCCGGAATTCCCATTCGTGGAATTATCGCAATTCTTGAAGATTGCCTGGCCGGTGTGTTTGCGCTTGACATCCATATTGCACCCTTTCGTAGTATGGATCGAAATTTCATTCCCATGACTGCCGATATTGGTAGTTTCAAGAACATCGATCTCGCCATTCGTCGGCCAGCTATAGCCATCGGTCAACCACAACGCAGGCCAGGTCGCACAGCCGAAGGGCGTATGGATAATATCGAAGATGAACAAGCCAGAGCCGTATGTATTCCTCGACTCGATGCGGACGGAGTTCCGACCAGAACGGGTGTTCGGGGTTGATGCGTCGGCGCGCAGGATGGCCGATGTCTCGGATGCATAGGTGAGGTTCAGGTGTCTGGCGGTTGTTTTGTTGACGTATACGACGAAGCCCTTTGTCGGGTCTTCGTCTGTGAAATAGGTGAATTGCTCGAAGAAGTTTGGGCCGGAGTAGGTGTCGACGAGGGTGTAGTTCAAGGGTGTGTAGTTTGGGTAGCGGTTTGAGACTATTTGGTAGGGGACCAGGATTGCAACCAGGAGGATGATTACTATGGCTGCTGTGCTGACGAGGAGTTTCACGAGCAGGGACCAGCCGAGTGGGTTATACCAGGGGCGAGAGTTGGCCGGGGATTTGAGCTCGAGAGTGGGGTCGCTCGGGTTGGCCCCGCTGTCGCCGTTTAGAAATGGTAGTTGTTGGTTGTCCATGTTGATTGATATAGTTTGGATATAGGATTTGGTACAATTGGATTTGGAGATGAGTTGGGTTCTATGTTCTACTACCTAGATTACACCCTGGTGATCCTCGAAAAGCTATCGAGTTTGTCGTCATGGATATTTACTCTGTTCCTAAAATGGAAAAGCGCCGATCTTTCCCGCTTGCGCATCCATGGATCACCTCGCTATAAATAGCCTAGTCTGCTTGGTCGTCGCCTTATATCGATTAGTACGGACGGCCATGCAAGGTTCAAGGACATATAAACCAATGTGCTGCTCGGACGGAATACATTCTATATTACATCACAATTACCCAGAGTGTTATATTGGTCACAAGGCTAAGTTTTATCCCATCAGCGAAGGAAGTAATATTTCTATAATTATGTGTACATTGAAATTAAGATTGAACCGCCAGGGCATATGTATGTAGAACGCCAAGCCTCTAATAGGTGTTAACAAAAGAATATGAAGGTTTCGCCCGTTTCTATCGATCGGATTGGACAGTTGAGGAACGATGGACAGCCGAGGGACGATGTATCACAGAGTCTGCATTGGGAGTAGGCTGGGTATGCCAATCGTGGCTGTCCATACCCGAAGAATGACCAAGATCGTTCCTCGACTGGGATTGCGATTGCGATTGGGCGAAAGACCCAACTCCACTGAAGTTGGATGCGCGGCGGCGCATGCGGCGCTCTCCGTCTGCGGCCTCACGTCGATTGAGGGCGTCAGAGGGGAGAAGGACGGCGCGGTCGAGCGCATAAGGTAGGCCACGGTGGCGACCGCGGAGTTGCATAGCAATGATCACCAACTTGGAGACTACATTGAACTGCGCCGAGAAGGAGGTATTGACGCCGGTGTATCCAAACGACAAACCCACAGTACCATATGCCGAGACAACTTCAAACAAAACAGTGAACAGCTGGAAAGCGTGGTCGTTCTGGTTCTGCAATTTTCCACCTTCCGCAATAGAAATGATAAACAGGCCCAAAAAGACATACCACAAATCGAAACTCAGTTGGCGTCGCAAGTGAGCTCCGATGTATGTGGGGGCATTTGTCTCTTCGTCATCATCATCCTCTGCGGCATCGTAAATTCCCAAACTCTTCTCTTCGTAGACGTTGGTTCGACGCATAGAGATGGCGATGGGAAAGACTGAGATATACATCATGATCAAATAGGAAACCTGGATGGCGGGGTGAAGGTCTGGAAGACTGATGATTCCAAAACCGGCTGTTCGTGTCGCAGCAGCCTGGAAAAAGCCGTCCACAACTCGAATTCCGGGTGGCAGCATAGTGACGGCAGAATCGTTGAGCTACAAAGCATGGTCAGTGGAAGTCGCACAAGAGAGAGGGAGACAAGAAACTCACATCCAGGATGACAAAGAAAATCAGATCAATGCCGTTCAAGGCCACGAGAATGCCAAACAGCCACCAAGTGGCATTGCGGGGGAACAATAGAGTGAAGCATCGACGGGGATGATCTAGAAGGAACTTCAACTCTTCCCATAGCGCAGTGCCCTGGCGGGTGAATTTGGAAAGAACCCAGATCATCAAACGAAGCATGCATGGGAAGGCAGTATTGCCGATGATGATTAGAAACCCTAGCATGAGCAGAGGGAAAATGGCCCTTTGGAAGGAGTACATCGAGTCAGGTGTCAAGGTGAAACCTAAATCGTTGAAGGCCGACGCAGCGGTAAAGATTCCCCACCACGGCCGCCCAACTCCATCAGCCCGGACAATATCCCCCCAATGGGTGTTTGTCATGATCCAACCGATCATGCTAACCATGCCGATGAGATGAAAGCCGACGTAGTAGGTGATAAGAAGGACGGCCAGCGTCTTAAGCGCACGGTATTCGATACCGCCCAACTCATCACGCTGTTCCTCCGTCAAATCGACGAAATTGGAGTTACGAGCCACTGTCGCATTCCAACTGAGATACGGTTGGGTGGAATGGTCACGCTCTTGTGTCAGAGACCGGAACACCTGCCTGAAGGTATTCCTCGTGTTAGCACCGCCAAGAGCGGTAACCTCATTCCCATCTTTAGTCTCCCGCAAAGTAGGGCGAGTATCCAGACGAGGGAACGTACTACCGCGACCACGGGATCGTGAAATATCTGGTTCGTTGATGGTGATGTGTTGTTCTTCAAGTGGGCCCAGGCGATCGAGCCGCTCGGAGCTTGAACCGGGGCTATGTTGGCTGTCATGGTCACTGAAGTGTTGAGGGTGCTCATCATGGTCCACATCTTCTTCCAAAGCCTCAGGCGCACCACCGCGGTCATACTCCCGGGGACTCGGGATGCGCAACGCTCCTTTATCCTTCCGCTGCTTTTCCAAGAAGGCGATGTGGTGTTCGGGATTCAAATGGGTTGGCACCTTCAAGCTACCGAGGCCAAAACGAGGTTCGCTGCTTGTGTCCGTTTCTTCGGAGTTGGATTCGACACTGCTTCCCCGGAGTTCCGGTGTGTTCATGCCCGAATTGATGTTCTTGCTAGCCGGGTCCGTTACTCGAGTGTCCCGGGCATCCCCTAAATGGTCCCGTACCACCACGATGGGTCGACCGCTGACTCCCAGCTCCGCACGGTTGATTTTGTTCTCCTGGGTGCGCCCATCATCGGTCACGGTTCCCATGCGGGATCGGCTCCGTCGCATCGCCCGAGCGTCACTGACCACATGTTGGAAGCGCTTCTCAAACCAGTATAACCGAACAAATACCACGGCGCTATGGATGAATATCGGCGTGCACAGACATGTCATGAGGTATAAGACGATCTGTTGATATAGCCGGAGGTCATTCAGATTGACCGTGTTCAACCCGCTCTGGGTGGCAGCGCCAGCGGACTGGAAAAGGGCATCGATGTAGTCGATGTTGCCACCGGGGTAAACGATGACCGAGCCGATGATAACCCAGGATATGATGTAGATATAGTGGAGGAAGATGAAATTGAGGTGCAGTTCGTTTAGAATCGGGATCTTTTTCTTGTAGGATATCACTCGGTGTAGAGAATCCGAGAACATATTGAACGGACTGCGGCCAGACCGTTGCCGAGAGGGGAGCACTGGCAGCCGCAAAGGGGGAGATGTCGAGACGGGGTGCTCTCGAAAGGAGGGGAATTTTTCCAACCTATTGCATCATTAGCTTTTACATCTCGACTTTGGCTTTTCGCGATACATACATGTGGTCCCGTCGAGCGCTACCGAGCGGAGAGGTTTCGTGCAAGAGACGGGGGGAGGCCGCTCTTAGCCGCGTGGCATTGAGCCACGATTTTGCGTAGAGGTAATCGCGGGCATAGCGGAGGGAAGGTAGGAAGGAGATGAATGGGAGCAAGAGAACTGGTCGAATTGAGAAAAAGGAAATGGTAATAGCTGCGATGGAAAAATCACGCATGCGGGAATATTACAGTACGGTATGGTATTGTCATCTGCCACAGAAAACGTGGTCTGTCGATCCCTTTTGTCCGTCTTTGTCGGTTTGTGGCGAAGCAAAGTGTATTTCTAGATTTGGTGATGTAGACACCTGGGAGTGTTTTGGGAATAGTATACGGATGATATCACAATAGAATATATATCAAAATAAACAAAGAGCTCCAGTGGATTCCAAGGTTCTTCCCACCTCCCATTTCACGATAAGCTTTTACTCGGAAGGATTCAAAAATCGGGATTCACTGCCTTGCTGCATGTACGATATGCGATATAGACATATCCCTGAATAGATGCAAGTCTCGGCGCATTAACATGTGATCATGGACATGCTTTTTCTTGGCATCGCATACATCCCAACCTTGGAAAAACCTGAAACTCGGCCATCGTCATCAATTCGATTGTCCACCATCGCCTAATATGAAAGGGATGTTCTAGATCGGCCCGCTTTTCATTCCGGCTATGCCGTGGGCCGTTCCTAGCAGGATTCCCCCTATGCTGTTAGGGCTGCCGAGATATCAATAGTCCATTTCCCCCTTCTAATTGGTACCTGCATTCTCCATCTCCCGTAGGACAGCCGCCCTATACTTGGCAGTGGAAGGTGTTATCTCCAATCATTCATCGACGTGTCTCACGCCTTCTTACTTGCATTCTTACCGAAACCTGCTGATAGGAGATACAAGAATACAAAGAAATGCGAGGGGCCCATATATACCCTTGAAACGAGAGAAATTAGGCGGCACCGGCGGCCCGACATTCCTTATTTGAAGGGGTGGTCTTTTGCAGGTACTGAAGCATGTCCCCCGAGGCCGAGTATATTTAGGTCATTCCTAAACCCGTAGTGGAAGATAGCCGATTTAGCTGCCAAGATAGCAGCATAACATCTATTTCACAAAGATTCGGACTTCTAATCTCCTAGGGCTAGCATTTTTGCCAGGCTATTCTAAAATTCCGTGAAGATCTAAGCCCTAGTACGAAGTATGACAGATCAGAAGTGCGGATAAGCAGTATGCAAGATCTAGTCGGATTTCGAATTGGACTTTGACGTTTGTTTACCTTGGGACTGCAGCTGTTTGACTCATCTCGGCTTCACTTCAGGGGTATGACAGACTTATTTTGTTCTGAAAATGTCAATTCTCAAGGTGTTTACTTTTCAGGGATGTCTCTCGGGTACTCCACTATACTCCGTATATGTACCTCCTTTACTCGCCGATATTGTCTCGCTGGACAAGGATTATTTCCCTTGGTCGTACAGAGAATATTGCTTTTTACCTCCTTCGTACATTGCCGTAAAGTGTGTCCGGCATGTCTTCCTACCATTTCCAATGATCATCCTTCTAGCTATATTGTATGTGGGAATTTCACAGTGTGGGAGAGGCCGCTGTTTCTTCTTCCGTCTCTGTTGCCCCAGTGAACCCGGAAAACTTAGAGAACAAGGTAGATCTAGGGCACTTCGTCTAGCGTAAATATGGTGAGCGTTCGAAGCGCCCAGCTGCTGCGTGAAGATCGCGACTCTTCTTTCGCCACGGCCGGCGCGCCGAATCGGGAGTACATAAGGCTTCCTACGCAGGAATCGTATTTTTCTATTAGAACGAGTCGTAGGTTGTGGGTGGGTGCGAGTGTTTCGGCGGTCAGGGAGGATGGCCTAGTAATTCGGAATTGCTTTCTTGCCACTGGGAAGATGGCGCCGCGTCGGGCTGTGGCATGATCAAGGAAGGGGGAACTAGAAGGCGAAGCGCTGGTTATCCCTCTGGATGCAGAGGTAGTGAACGGAGTGGAATCTTTGTGCTGCTGTCGATGAACGAAGCGGGGAGGTTTTAGTTCCGATATTGGATGGGGATGTGGCTGAGGGAGAGTGGTTAATGGGACCACCAGGCCAAGTTCGGAGCCGAAGGCCGTGGCAAACGAAGTCCCCGATCTCATCTTAAGTCAAATAGATCAATGTATTGAGCTAGGTCAAGGACGGAGGCCACATACGCGACCGACTATTCTTATACTGGATATGTCGATTTTTGGATAGACGATTTGATCGCAGTGGGGTGGGATTGTTGAGGTCATTGACCCCAATTTCTCGTTGGGGTAGCCAGTGGATGACCATGGATAGTTTGTTTTTTTTTTCTTCTCTCCATTATAATCGCTTCCTGTACCTGTAGAATTGACATAAAATGGCCTCTACGCATCGCATTGCCGTAATCCAATGGCATATCAAGGTTGGTGCATCGACTTGGGCTGTACCCGAGCTTCGAACCATTGAAGACATGCAATTGCGATCGGATTTGCTAACAGTATCGCAGGAGCTTGACCCTGAGTATAATCATGCGACAGCATGCAACTACATCAGTGAGGCTGCTGCTCAAGGCGCCGAGCTAGCCGTCCTTCCGGAGTAAGAGATGTGTTACTAGACTTCCTGTCTGACGACACTAGATAGCCTTAAAACAAATGAACACTTGCTGATTCGAGTCAACCAGATACCATCTCAGCGGCATGGTCCCCACAGATCCCCTTTGGGCAGTCCAAGCCGGCAAGTCCGCCGAGTACCTAGCGAACTATCAACGCCTGGCCAAGAAATTGCAAATCTGCATTGTACCGGGTACAATCATCGAAAAGCACACGGGGCCCGATCAATCAACCCTGCTCTACAACACAGCATACTTCATCTCAGACGATGGCACTGTGCTCGGCTCCTACCGCAAGAAGAATATCTGGCACCCGGAACGACCCTACCTCACCTCCTCAAGCTCAGAGCCCCATGTGGCAATCGACACCCCGATCGGCCGCGTAGGAATGATGATCTGCTGGGATCTGGCATTCCCCGAAGCATTCCGGGAACTGATCGTCGACGGGGCGGAAATTGTGATTGTGCCTACATACTGTATGTTGAATTTCTCCTAGCCTGTACTCAACTGATCTAACCAAACTTCTACCAGGGACCCCCCACGACGCCTCTCCCGAAGCTCGCGCGTATAACCCGGATTCCGAAGCCCTCTTCCTCGAGTCGACCATTACATCCCGCTGCTTTGAAAATACCTGTGGTATTGTCTTCGTCAACGCCGCCGGGCCGTCGGAGGATTTCTTGGGCTTGTCGCAGATTACGGTCCCTCTTGTGGGTTCGATTGCTAAGATGGGGACTGAGGAGGGATTCATCGTTGCCGATTTGGATATGGGGCCTATTGAGGCTGCAGAGAGGAATTACAAGGTGCGACAAGACCTGAAGAAAGAGGATTGGCACTATAGTTATCGGCATACCGGGCGAAAGTAGAGCTTGGTCAATTCTGATTCTTTCTTACTTTTCCCGACCATTGTAACCATGCGACTTCTAGTAATAAGCCAGAAAGCCAACCAAAAAAGACGTAACACCAAGAATATTAGATGATTCCATGGATGTTGCCCAGGTACCCGCATGACTGTGTTCGGAATAGCGGATCCGCCCGTCTGGCGTCAAAAAGCTTATCTCCAATCCCCGAGGCTTCATAGATCAAAGGTCTAGAAAGTTGTCTACATGGATTGAGCTTTCCCTTCTTTGTACTGCCGTTTAATTAGAAAAATTTAAGAATGGGGGGAAGATATATATAGAAAAAAACCATCTAAAGAGACTATCTAAGATCTAAGAAGACTACCATAATGTCATGACAAGGCCGCATAAGCGGTCGACTACTCTTATCCCGGAATAAATCTACTTTGCACTGTAAGATTATGATTACAGCTTCAATTCTGGGCTATATATCGGCATTGGCTTATCACGAATGCTAGTTTGAAAGCTACACTTCTTCATACCTTCTACAAGGATGCCCACTAGAAGACGGTTTCATGTACCTGACCAGGTCGTGAATACCACATGGAGAAGCAGCTAGCAGCTGGTGGGTATCACCTGATATGACAATAGGCAATTGGGAAGGCCCCCACGGGTTCTATTGTCTCCCATTGTCCCTTCCCAAATAGGGAAAGTACCTTTCTAAGCGAGTCACATTTCCTACTTATATACCCCCCGCCGCTCTACAGTCCCTCCTTTACTTTTTCTCTCTTCTTCAACTCCCCATCCTCCTCATCTTTCATTCCATCAATCCATCAATCCCCCTTCTTCCATCTGGGGTTTCATCACCCCCAAGTACATTCCATCATCAGCTTGGGTCTCAAAAAATATCTTGTCCACTCCACATCACATCTTCCATCATATCTTGCATCAAGGTTCATTGGAAATGGAGTCTGTCACCATATCTGACTGCCAGCAACGCATTGTTGCGACTGTCACATCTGTCACGTCAACACCCACACTCACGTGGCCCATCATGTCCACTATGGTAAGTCTGCCTACCACCTGTCACCATCCTTCAGTCACTGACATGCACTTACTTGTCTCATAGACCTAACACCACATGGGCTTCATCACTTTGGCTTTTGATCTTGCATCTCTGCTGTGCATTGTGAGTATCTTCTTCCTCTCCCCTAACCCATCTTGACTTGACCATGTCACCCCTTGACCTTTCATCAACATTGTTCCATCACTATATCACTATGCTTCCATCCTTGCTCGGTACTAACTGTGATAGATGTGGAATCAAAAAAAATCCTTGCAGCTTGAAACAGCCTTTGCCTCAAACGCTATATCATTTACATGTTGCTGCTTTTAGCCTACCACCCATCACGAACAGCAACCTGGATTGCAGTTTGCAGATATCCAGGTAAGAACTTGAGCATCCGAACCCTCCTCACCTCTCTGTTCCTTCTGCTCTACGATGATGAGTGGAAGATCTCACCAGCCGATCCATTGGCTGACGCAAGTGCACATTGGTGCCTTCTGCCACAGGAACAGCATTTCTCATTTTCAATCTGCCTTCCTCGCAACTTGTTGCATGTGCCTGCCACTCCATTGATTTACTGTGCATGACCACCACATCTTACATAAAATCCACACATTTCTGCACTTCTGAACAGCCACAACAACATGCCAACCACCGAACAGGGCTGCCTCCACTTCTCCACCGGCAAATGCCTCATGACTGCCACCGCAACATCCATATCTTCATCATTGACCACATACCTCTGCGCAAAGAAACCTCCTTTGCATCCGAATGGAACCCCCATGGCAATTGCCCGATGCTCAGCTCGAAAAAGAAAGAAAAGAAAAAGAAACAACCAACATCATCAACCTTATCATAAACAACAACAACAACAACAACAACAACAGCAACAACAACAACAACAACAACAACATCATCATCATCATCATCATCATCATCATCCCCAGACAACAACAGCTACAAAAAAAAAAAAAAAAAAAGAGGAAAAGAAACAAACCACAAAAGAAGGGAAAAGAAGGGAGGAAACGGATTTGCATCAGACGGGACAACATGAAGGAACAAGAAGGAACAAGGAGAAGGGATGGGAAATTGGTTGCTTTTGATCTTCGCAAGAGAAACGGATTTGGTGAGATCAGAAATATCGTCTCTTGAGATGCAAGGCTGACTTCCAAAATCACAGTTCCCTGATGGTTCCACTGGAGTCTTTCGACACTTCCAATTCTACTATGGCCCAGCCAGCAGAGCTCATGATTCCACCTGAATGAAGAGGGATGCAATGACATGACTGTTTGTCTCCCAATTTGTGATTCGCTTTTGCCAGTGCTAACACTTCTAGTCACCAGTCACCACCAACCCACGAGATCCTCGAGGATTTGAACAACTTCCTGCTTAACTCAGTCCCATCTCATACGGTCATCCCACCACCTAGTCCAATGCGGAAACCCACCAACTTGCTACAATGTTGCAGACCACCTCCTGCCGGTCCCTCACTACCTTCCTCAACAGTCACCAAGTGAGCCAGAAATACATCCTCTTGACACCATACTTCTCAGCACCAACAGGCGGTGTGCTGGGTTGTATGATCAAGCGATCCATGTTTCTGGTACTTGGTACTGTGGCAGCATGAAGAATCATTATCCTCGACAGTCACCACGAGACAGCCAGGAATGACATCCTCCTGACACCATACTTCTCAGCACCAACAGGCGGTGTGTTGGGTTTTATGATCAGAGGATCCATGTTTCTGGTACCTGGGACTGTGTCAGCATGAAGAACCATTATCCTCGACGGCCACCAAGTGAGCCCGGAATACATCCTCTTGACACCATACTTCTCAGCACCAATAGGCGGCGTGTTGGGTTGTATGATCAAGGGATCCATGTTCCTGGTACTTGGGACCGTGGCAGCACTGAAGAACCATTATCATCGACGCTCACGAGTGAATTAGGAACATCATCCTCTGACACCATACTTCCCAGCACCAATAGGCGGCGTGTTGGGTTGTATGCTCAGGGGGTGCACTGTTCCTAATTTACCTGGGACTTAGAGTTGATTCTGGTATATCAGTCTGTCCACTGCGAGTTGATTCTGGTATATCAATGCTACCCACTGCGAGTTGATTCTGGTATATCAATGCTGCCCACTGTGAGTTGACATCGGGTAGTGAAAGCTGACAAGAGTGGTCTCGCAAGGTTGCAGTATGGAGATGTCAGTGCATATCATCCAGTCAATTCTCAGCACTCGACAACCACCAGTCTCTCAATACCTCCACCTTTGGGTCACATCAAATCCCAATACCGAAGACCACATTAATTCTCCACGAAACGGTACTAAAGAGCCCGCCTCCGAGACACAAAGCCTCAACAACTGTTCATCGCACGGCATCAATTAACATCGACTTTTACACTTGACTGGATCACTTCCCACTGGACTGGGTTGGCACACTGAAACAAGGGGCGCCAACTATCAAGCTCTTCTGAAACTACTCATGACCAACCACAAACTCTCTGACAACTTCGAGGCTTCACAAATACATCGAAGGCATTGTCTCTGTCATTTTCAACCCTCCTTCATGCTCACGCAACGGGCGTCACGAAGAAAAGAATCATGAGTATGGTAAGCCTTGGTTCACAACAGTTCCCCCGTTCAAGACAATAATGCTGACAATTCTAAGCCCAAGGCACAGATCAAAACAAGAAAAATATCCACACCAAACTCTGCCCACAACACTCCTCACCACCGTGGACTTGCAGGACAACCATAACCCACAAAAAAAAAAAAAAACAAAAAACAAACAAAACAAAACAAAACAAAACAAAACAAAACAAAAAAGCAAAAGGCACCAAGGAAACATGTCCAAGCATCATCCACACCCCGAAGAAACCATTGGCAGGCGGTCATGGAATCATTGAATGGAAGCTCGTCATCTCGAAAGACAAACTGGTCCAGCATGGACTGAATTCACAAGATTCGCATCTCACAGCACCACACCGGGCTGGGAAGGAGGATATGGAGAAAGAACATGGGAGGAGATGGTCATGGGAATGTACGACGGAACTTTGTTTTGATATCTTTGGGAGGATTCGGGACTTTGTTTGCATTATCCAACCCTTTCGCCTTGCACCGACTCTGCTGAGTCTTCAAATCTCAGCTCAAACATTGCTTCCATGGACATCATCAACGTCCATGTCACGGTCGCCGTTCGCTAGGGAGGCTTGCTCAACTTGTTTTGTATCTACTGGAAAGAATTTCCAGTTTTATGTATTTAGAGCACTTCTGCGACATCAAACTGCGGAAGTAAAGAATGAAGGACATCATCATCTTCATAATCACCTTCTCATGTCCCACACATAAAAAACCAGTGTTGTCTAGCATTTGCTCACGCGGATATTATTGGATATCCAAATCGTATTGGCACTATTCTTGTTGACTGTAACTTTCTCACGTCTCAAAAGTTACCGTCCCTACATGTACTGATATGATTTACAACGTAAATGATGAGAACATTGAAAAGTCAACATTTGAATTCTAAGCTAAGTCATAAAGCAGAGACAGAATCATTAATTGATACAATCATCCGGGCGTCCGTGGCAGGAAGTCCGCAAACGCAGACAACAGACCAAGCAATGAGAAAGGAAACGGTATAGAGCTCTCAAATTGGGAAAAAAAGAAAAGAAAACATGTAGTAGGGCGAAGCAAAGAACTCCCTCTTATCGAAACCAAAGACGACGACAATCACCAAGGACGAAAATCCGAAATCCGAACCCGAACCACCCGGATCAACATCTAAACAAGGACCAACGGAACAAGTCGCTAACCAAGGGATGGTAGGAACAGCAAAGCAAGTACGGAGTATAGTCAAGATATTCGGAGCGTGTTGCAAAAATCACAAAGAGATGCGAGGAGCCCAACTCCGCCAACGTAGCGGTCAATGGGATGATTTTTTCCTCTAGGGATAAATCGTCTGGTGACCAGGTCCACTCTTTCGTCACTGGACTTGGCTGACGATTTCGCTGGCGCGACCCAGGCTCTCGACCATCTGTTGGCATTCCTTTCGTCGGCGGGTCGTGTAATCGCTCTCCTTGAGGAGTTCGTCGAGCTCGTTGGTGCGGTACATTTGCTCTAGGAGTTCGCGTTGCATCTCATCCTTGGAGAATCTAGGAAAATCATTTGTTAGTATACTCGACGAAAGGGATTTGTAAGGATGATACATACTGGACCAGGGTGTACATGACCGCCTTGGGGACCATGTCGATCATTGTGCGCTTGACAATGTTGAAGTAGGAGGTAATCAGGAGTTCTGCGTGAGTGTTAGTCAAATGTCACACGCGTTCTGCATGAGCTAGTTCACTTACTGATAACCTCGACTTCGGTAGCTTCACGCTCAGACAAGCTAGCTGAAGCCTTAAGAGTTGCGGGAGGGGCCTCCATCAGGGCCATCTTCTTCTTGTTCTTGGAAGCCCAGAAGCTGCCGAAGAACCCACTGTTGTTATTGGCCTCGCCGCTGGTGTCGAGCGAGGGGCTCTGGGCACGGGCTGGGAGGAGAGGCTTGCCAGTCTTGGGGTCGACCTGTGTAGGCTTGGCGGCTGCCTGACGCTCGTTGACGAGAGTCATGGCGCGGTGTCCGTTCAGGAAATCAGGGTGGCCGGTGTTCACGTAGGTGGATTCCATGTTGATCAAGTCCTTGACCAGCTTGTTGGTAGGCTCAAGGCACTTCTTGAAGAATTGGATGACGACAGCATGGAACTTCTCCTTCAGCATGGGGTAGCGGCGGAACAGCTGCTTGGTCAAGAGCTGGCTCAGGATGCGCACCAACTCGTCGTAAACGAGGGAGATACATTTCAAGCTGGGCTCTTCCAGTCGCCTGATCTGTTGCTTCACAATCAACTCAAAGGCGGTGGTGCCGACAAATAGTGCGGGTGAGGAACCGGACGAGTTGTAAAGGATAGTTCGGATATCAATGTCCTTCACGAAGTCGAAGGGATCGACCGCCTTGACACCGTTCGCGTAGAGTTCATGGAACACAAAGGAAATACGAGCACCACCGGACAGCTCGATGCTGGACAACTCCTGGTTATTTCCCTCCAAGACTGTACGGTACTCGTTGCTGAACTCAGTGATGATGTTCAGGATGATGTTGGCGCTGTTGCCGAGCATAGAGTCACCTAGTTGCCCTAGCTCTGCGGTGTATTTCTGGAGGGAGGCGGAAATGCGGGCCTTGATATCGGGCAGGGTTTGCTTGATGTGCATCATAAGGATCTAAAAAGAGGAAGTCCGTTAGTCCAAAGGTTTCAAAGACGATTGGGGGCAACCCGTACCAAGTTCAGTTTCCGTGCCAAATAAGGCGTACCGCAGTAGGAAGCCTTATTCCGGTATGCCTTGTGGTTCTCGAAGAAGTTTTTCTCGTTCTCCAAGGCATAAGCAATGAGTTTCTTGTTCTCAATGTCACGCTGGCCACGGTTGACCACTGGCACATAACCCAGGCGCAAGGGGATAATTCGTCCAGCGAGAATATCTACTACATCCGTACCATCATCCATCAGATCGACCTTACTCAACACACCGATGGTGCGTTGACCCTCCGGGTCCACCTCACGTGCTAACTTCAGACCATCCGAGTTGGCAAGATCTTGGTTGGCCGAGGTGACTGCTAGGATGATTGCGTTGGGCTTGCTAATATACTTGAGGACCATATCACGGATTTGCTTCTCAATATCCTTCGGTTGGTCTCCGACGGGCACCTTAGTCAAACCAGGCAGATCGACGAGGGTCAAGGTCAAGACGTTGGGGGAGTAGATGCGCAGGTTGATCGGGGAGGGCGAGATTCCGGCATTCTTTCCGACCTTGGTTTCCGTTTCGCGGACGATTTCATCTCGAATCTTGTTGAAATCGAAGAACTTCTCCCCGGGGAGGTGTAGGAATTCACCGTATTCGTTCACGTTGGACTCGCTGTCCGTTGTCTCCAACTTGGTCTCCCCGTTCGTGGTGGGGGTTTTGTTAATCAGTTGCAAGATAAGGGGTCTCCGAGTGACGATTCCAGAGCCACGAGGCAAGCTGCAAGGCGAAAACTTGGTTAGCAATTATTCACATATGGCGCATGCCCCGCCACCGAGGGCGTGCACGGGGCCGCGCAAGCTCCCAAAAACAAGCAACATACAAATCCCGGCCGACGATATTCTCTAGCACCGAACTCTTTCCACTGGATTGCGACCCGACAACGGCAATTTGGGGCAGATCGATTGGGTTGTGCACCTAAAGCGAGGAGCGGTGTTAGCGCACATGGTGCCCCTGTAATCACAATTGATCTGTGACCTCTGATCAAGTATACATACACCGACTGTGGAAAAGACATCTTGAAGCTTGTTAACCAGCGAAATCAAGCTGGGGTCATTGACGTTTATGCTGCACGGAGATTAGCCAGACCGCATAGGAAAGGGACAGGGGTTTGCGCACGAGTGGCCGGTCGTGGGGCTTGCCATGGCTGGCGATTTGGGATACGAAAAACTGCTTCTAGGCAAGGAATATGGAAAAAGCAAGAAAAACGAGGCAACAGAGAAGTCGAATGAAGTAGAACCGGGGAGGTGCACGGTATAAGTGGAGGGATTGTTTGGCTCACGAAGGCGGTGATGTAGTGGCGTCCCGGTCTGTCGGCCCAGGCTACAATCAAAGTACTGACGAGTGAAGAATAGTGTATATAGTGTTATAAGCCGGATATCCTAAAGAAAGAGACTATTTCAACATGCCAAATAACCTAATAGATCCGATATTGGGTCATGTGCGCATATCTTGTGCTGCCTGACGCGTACGGGCCACATGTACATCTAGAAGATATACCGTTAAGCAACCAAAATGGAAAAAAAGTAACTCGAGTTGGACACAATAACTACAGGGGAATGTGCTCGAACAAACATCTAAAAGGAAATACGTGCTAAGTTAAGATGTCACTTTCACTCGTCCGAGACCGAGGCGAATCGCTCAGTCATGGACTGGAGGATCTTCTCGTACTTGGCCGAAACCTCTGCCTCGTCCTCCGGAACCTCGAACTTCATGCCGCGCAGAGCACTTTGGATATCAGCAGTAGCCTCACGGACCTTGTTCCAATTCTGACCCTGAGCAATGGCCTTTTGGGCCTCGTTGTGGTAGCCCATAAACGCCTTCATCATGTACTCGGTCTTCCACAAGGGGCAGAACTGATCGTAGTCACTGTATCCGTTCTGCTGGAGGAAATCATCCTTGAGCAAGCTGGCCACGTCCAGCGTGATCTTATCCGAATCACCCAGTGCCGCTTTACCGACCAGCTGGACAACCTGGTCCAGTTCCTCGGACTTGGCCAAAAGCTCACGAATCTGATCGCGCAGACGGGGGAATTCCGGGTGGTCCTTCTCGTAGTACTTATCCAAAACTGCGTTGTACTTGCTGTAGGAGATGGAGGTATTGACCGAAGGGAAATGCTTGCGCTGCGCCAGCTTCTTGTCGAGACCCCAGAACACCTGGACAATACCCAGGGTACTGCTGGTGACGGGATCGGAGAAATCACCACCGGGCGGGCTGACAGCACCGACGATGCTGACACTGCCTACACGCTCGGGACTGCCAAGAGCACTGCTCTTGCCAGCACGCTCGTAGAAAGAGGCGAGCTTGGCTCCCAGGTACGCGGGGAAACCCTGATCAGCAGGCATCTCACCCAGACGACCCGAGATCTCACGCAGAGCCTCAGCCCAACGGGAACTGGAATCGGCCATCATAGCCACGTCCTTGCCCTGATCACGGAAGTATTCGGCGATAGTGATACCGGTATAGATAGAGGCTTCACGGGCGGCGACGGGCATGTTGGAGGTGTTGGCGATCAGACAGGTACGCTTCATGATAGGCTCCTTGCGGCCTTCAACGGTAATAGAAAGCTGGGAAAGAGATGCAGTCAGTAACACGTTATCGCAGTAAGTTTGGGAAGGGCATGTACTTCGGGGAAATCCATCAAGACTTCAGCCATCTCGTTACCACGCTCACCACAGCCAACGTAGACGATGATATCACTGTTCGAGAACTTGGACACACTCTGGGAAATGACAGTCTTTCCACAACCGAAGGCACCAGGAATGCAGACAGTACCACCCTGAACACTGGGGAAGAGAGCATCCAACACTCTCTGGCCGACAATGAAGGGCGCATCGGCGGACAGCCTGTCGCTAACCGGGCGGGGAACACGGACGGGCCAGGTCTGCATCATACCGAACTCGGACTTTTTACCATCAAACTCCACCTCGAGCAGCTTCTCTTCGACGGTGTAGCTGCCAGCAGGAGCAATCCGGGTAATGGTACCCCGTGCACGAGGAGGCAGCAGGATCTTGTGGTCGTTCACCAGACTGTTCTCGAACACGCTACCCCAGATGTCACCACCAGTGATGTGGTCGCCGACCTTGAAGGTAGTAGGCTTGAATTCCCACTTGCGCTCCCGGTCCAGGGCATTGACCGAAATACCACGGGGAATGTAGATACTCTTCGATTGGTCCGCGATGGCTTTGAGGGGTCGCTGAATACCGTCGTAGATCGTCTCCATCAGACCGGGGCCAAGCTCGACTGAAAGGGGCTTTCCTGTCCTTTGAACCGGGTCTCCAACAGTCAAACCGGCTGTTATTCAAATATGACATCGGTCAGCATAGCTCTTTGAGGGGGTATGATCAAACGGGGGCTGCGGAGCTCTACCTGTTTCCTCGTAGACCTGAATTGTGGCCTTGTCTTGCTCAATGCGAATAACCTCACCAACAAGCAGGTCATGACCGACACGACACTATGCGGTCAGTATCTGGGGTTCTCCACCATCTCGGAGCTGGGGCTGCCTACCAACTCGTACATGGCACAACCGATCATATTCTCGGCCACGACGACAGGGCCGGAGACCGAAAAGATCGAGCCATGGTTCTCAGAATCGTCTGAAGTCATAATGGAAGAAGCCTGTGTGGAATGGGTAGACACAGAGTGGGTGAAGGTAGTTGAGGAGGGCGAGTCTGGAAGCGGTGGCAGCTCGGCGGGCGGTGATGGCTGTGTCAACGTATTCTTTGCGGTTATCAGATCCAACAATGATGCCCGCGCTTTCAATAGAGGACGTCCCAAGCCTAGCATTCGCTTTGGACTGCAAGTTACAGGTGTTGAAAACTGAGTCTGATTCTCAGAGGTCGTGGAGTTCCCCTGATCTAATCGTCCGATCCTCGGTCTCTTCCCCGCGGACCGAATTGTGGCCATGCAAAGCCGATCCTTCAGCTTGGCTGTACTTCTGGTGGCTTTTTTTTACCGGTCTTACAATGTTAGAAGTATCTCTGCTTGGCTGTTACCCTGCTTTTTTTGAGAACTACTTGAATCACTGAACAGGGATCTGGTTCGTCTTACGAGTTCGATGAGCTACTGCGTCTCCCCCATAATGACCTGGAACAACCATGGAAATCAATCCAATAATGCTTACATTGCAGAAAACTATATAAGAAAGAAAACTGACGACTTGGAATAATCCATGATATCTCGTACTAATGTCCGGCGATGATGATGTCTGTCTCGGTCGGGAAAGGGTCAATAGCTGTCTTCAAGTTCCTCAATGGCCTCATGGACGATTCGGAGAAGATTTCGAAACTCGACCGCAAGATGCTCGGCGTGTTGATTGATCAATGACCATGGCGAAGCAGAGGGGAAAAAGGCCCGCAGCTTGATCCTGCAACCACCCTCGGTATCCATGAATTCGTTCATAATATAGAAAAACTTGCTCCCACTCTCAAGTTTCGCGACGAAGTACTCCGCCATTTCATAATTGTCATCTCGCTGCGCCGACATCCACCTGGGAATCTCTCCGCTGACCATGAGATCCACAGATCGAACCTTGGCCATGTGGTCCCCGATGACCTCCACCCCACAGTCTGGCCCACTTCTGACGGGAGCTCCTGGGGAATGCATAACCGCATAGTTCTCTGGGTGCGTTGGGAATACAATCCTTCGTGCCATGTCTTCGAGGGGTTTGGAGAGTTGCCAGCGGTTGCAGAGTGTTCTCAACTCTGTCGCCGAGACACCGGCCACTTTCATAAATGTTCTGCATTCTCTGAATTCCCCCGAGAGGCTCGAATCAGCGATTCGAAATAGCGGTTTCCTTCCTTGATTTGGTCTCTCAGAAGGTCCAGCATCGGTGCTTGAAACAATAAGCTCCGCAGGTTGTCGAGAGCGCGATAGCAAGCTTGGAGTTCCAAGTCATCGATTTCAGCCCCAGATCTCAATACTCCATTCAGCTTGAATTTGATGGTTGGTCTTGGTTCCATGGCTTGTGGTGACCTGTGGCGAAAGGGTTTGAAGGTTGTGTGGAAATCGTTGTCTACGGACGAAAACAGCAGCCTTTATAGTCTGAACAGCAACTCCTCTAAATGGCCATTATTCAAACCGTGTTTTTGGGGAGCACCGATGAAACCTGAAAGGATCAAAGGGTGTTGGGCGTATAGAGGGGCGGTCAAAGGTAGCATACAAGGTCTTAGCCAACAAAGGCTTAGCAAAGCTTGGATTCAAAGCTTAGAAGACAGTGTCACTTAGGTGTTACTAGATATTAAGGTCATATATGATAACTTGAAACCAGAGCCTAGGCAAAAGAGTAAGTAGTAGGGCCTGCATGGGACCACTGGGTCATATAATGTGACATGGCTCAAAGTGTCAAAGAGACGGTCAACATGTGAGCAGTTAATAAATATCGTCCAATCAACACTTGACAGACATCATACAAATCCGGGGACGATAATGATAGTGGCTTCACATGTCCTCTCTAGGAACGCCCACTCTCACTCGTGCTACTTTCGTCGTATTAAGCCAAAACACCATCACTTCAAAGCCTGCATTCTGCTCTCATGTGATGTCGCCGGTCAGAGAGTTGATACTAATCAATAGATGTTGGCTGTTCTCGATCCGTTCTAGGTCTAGGAGAAAGATGAGAACAAGGAAGTTCTCCGATATCTTCTACAATTATGTGATGCAATCAACAAAGGAGCTATTGTGAGACTGCAGAGCCGACCTCCAACACCCCAAAGTATGTTCCAATCTTAGAGATCTCTCCCTTCTTCTTTATTGAATGATTGGTCCCTCCAAGTCCCACATAGCTACTCGCTCAACTGGCCCTGACAGTATCATAGCAAAGGAATAACTAGTCTGACTGAAATCACGCTACACCAAATCTTCTAACGTGCATCCAAAACGCCCATGCCTCGTCAAGTCCATTCCTTTAACTAGCTATGACGACCCGACCGGTGAAGGTATCGTTGATGAGAGTGACACTGAAATGTGCTCTATGGATAATCCGGCCTCTTTGCCACCACGAAAACTAGGGGCAAACGCAAGCGCGTGAGAGCGGTCCCGTGTTATAATTCAAATCGCCCTTTAAGCTACCAGCAATAAGATAAGAAAGAAGACACCAAAAATTCTCTTAGCATAATGGATACGCAGAGAACTTTCAAAGAGCCGGTACTTGCCGTAAGTATGTGCACAGCTCGTGACTGCCTAAATAGGACAGCTATCCAGGCCACATCCATTCTCTTGCTTTTTCAACCTTTTCACACCATCTTAACCTCCTACCAGAGGAAATCGCCTGATAATTCTACCGGACCCCTCGATTTTGGTCCTTTGACTGTTTCTTCTCAACCAACAATGGCGCTGAAAAACGCAAGCACCACATGGGCAGTTGGGTCGGGGACGTACATGACGACTCAGCCAAGCCTATCTGGATGGTTATTGCGATGACCGTGATCTTTTTGGTGGGCAAGACATGCGTCGGCACGTTGCAACAGGTCGGTTTCCGCGTGGTCATCGAAGCATAAATGCCAAGACATAGAGCGCTGCATGCCACCCGATCAGGTTTAGTGTCCCTATGCATCGCGATGTCAGTGGCTTTGGCTGAGCATGAAGGTTCGTATTGCTGAAGAACACCCATATATCGATAAAATTGACAATGACACCGCCCCAAGGATCATCAATCAAGACTTCCAGAAATGGTTCAACGCAGCGAACTAGAGCGGCTCATCGTGTCACTGCCCCAGCAGAGCGGTACAACGGACCAAATCGAGGTACCCCACGACATGGATGCACCAATAGATTGAGATCCTGGTTGATGGCCCCCAGGTAGTATATCACGGAGCTAACTATGACATCGCCTTGTATGGAGAATAAACGTAGGGCTTTATTCGATGGCAGTTTGAAGGAGGTATAAGACCAGGCCGACATGCAGCATTCGTTGAAATTTCAGTCTAATTCATCAACCTACTTTTTGGAATAGTTCAGCAATTCTTTCTCATAAGCACCATGCAACCGAATTATGTGCTCACCGGCTTGCTTTGCCTCCCGGCAGCGGCTTTTGCCAACCTTCTAGGACCGTCATACCCACCTCCTAGGGACTTGTCTAGCAATCACAGTCGAGTCGCCGCCAGTTGGAAGAGCCTAACTTCTCAACTCAACACCGTCCTCGCCGATAACCAGGCCAACAAAAGCAGTGGAGTCTTTGCGCTGAAGAACCTCACATTCTCTGCTGGGTTATTTTCCACGCTTGACCCGAAAGCCAAAGATCTTCAATTCCACCACACCGCCAGTGAAGTAGCAAACTCCCCGGTTGGAGTGAATAAGGTGGATGGAAACAGCATCTACAAGGTCGCCAGTGTGTCGAAACTCTTCACAGTCCTTGCTGGACTTATAGAGCTGAAACCTCGGGACTGGGACCGTCCACTTACCGACATCTTCCCATTCTTGGCCGAGCGTGTTCGGAAGCAACATGATAAGTTCCGGCTTGTCTATGATGTCCAATGGAACAAAGTCACCCTCAAATCCCTTGCGGGTCAGATGAGCGGCATACCCCATGGTGCTACAGAAGAATTCCTACAAACCTTTCTTCTATACAAGTATCTCGAACACTCTCACAATCCCGCGTTGACTGATCCAAACTTCTACGGTCTCCCACCGCTGAACGAGAGTGACGTATCTTTATGGCCATCTTGCTTGGGTGAACAGACCCAGGGCTGTAATCCAGTCTCCTGGGATGTGGCATACGCCCCAAGGCCCCCAGTTTACCTTCCCTGGACGAGCCCCGAGTATGCAAATGGCGGCTATATCTTCCTCGGTCTCGCGATTTCAAATCTCACGGGAAAGACCATGGACGAATGGTATAGTGAATCGATCTTCGAACCTCTGGGATTGAAGTCCACTTACTCGTCAACCCCTGGCAACTCCACCCGCCCTCATTCCGTCACATCGGAGGCTCTTGATGAGCAGTTCATCCCTGATGGAGGCGCTACAACCCCCTCTGGTGGATTGTTCTCTACAATCAACGATCTTTCCAAGCTTGGTGTAGCCCTCTTGAATTCCACCCTCCTTCCCTCCGAAAAGACACGGGAATGGATGAAGCCAGTCACTCACACCTCAAGTCTACGCTACTCGGTCGGCTCACCATGGGAGATCCATCGATACGTCCACGCGGGATCAGGCGTAGTCACTGATCTATACACAAAACTCGGAGACTCAGGATACTACGGTGGCATCGTGGTCGTGATACCGGACTTCGACGCCGGCTTCACTCTCCTCTCAGCCAGCACGCAATCCAGCCGCAGCAGCGAGGCGCTCTTGGCGATCGACCTTATTGTCGATGCTATACTCCCGGCGCTTATGGAACAAGCCGCAGCAGAGGCAGTGCAGAAGTTCGCCGGCACATACAAAGCCAAAGACATGAATTCGTCATTGACACTCGCTGTTGTACCACCTACCCAGCCCGCGCCTGGTTTGAATATCACTTCGTGGATTAGCAATGGAACAGATATCACGGCTCTAGTGTCTACACTCCTTGGTGGTGTCGGGTCACGACTTGTGCCGTCTATTATCTCCGAACAGGCCAGTGGGGAAATCGCTCTCCGGGGATACACTGCTACTCAGGGTCGGAATCCCGGAGTTGGTTACTCTTCAAGTCTTTTCTCTTCGTTCTACGATCTCAACGACTGGACTATGCTGGACCAGTTGACCTGGGGTGGTATTGCTACCTCGCTTTTCGTTTTTGATGTCGAGCAAAATGGAACTGTCAAGTCGGTGACACCAGGTGCCTACAGAGTGAAGATGGCGAAGAAGTGACCAAGCCAAAGCTTAATTGGAGGTTTGTATAATAGGATATAGAGGAGAGCAATCGTTTTACAGTGTAGAATGATAATATAGTTGAATTTATTGCGTGGATTATATGTACACATAATCAATATAATTCCGAAACAGTTCAATACCCGTCCCGCTTTCCTTGGACCTTAGAAGTGCCCTTAGCCTTCTCTAATTCGTTGAGCATCCCGTCACCGAAGACAGCAACATCGGTGGTGATGGAAACCATATCAAAGCCCTGCTGTGTGCGGCGAAGAGCGTCATCACCATCGGAGCCTAAAAAACGCAATATTAGACATGAGCCATGGAACACCGGAAATGACAACACATACAGAAGATAGCAGCCTTCTTTCCTGCAGCTCTAGCAGCATTCAAGACACGTTGGATAGCAGCCTCGTGCTCCTCGCCACCGCGGGTGACACGCATCTGCTTAGCAAGGTCGAAGGGTCCTAGAAAAGAACACCTTAGCCAATTCCACAAACCATAAACAGAAAGGTCCAATCTCACCAATAAACAAAACATCAAGTCCCTCGACTTTAGCAATCTCCTCTACATTCTCAACACCCGGCCGCGACTCAATCTGCACAATAACGAGGACTTCACCGTGCGTCTTGTCGTCATAGTCGGCGGGCTTCACGCCGGGGAATGAATGCGGCGTAAACATAGGCCCGTATCCACGGACTCCGACAGGCGGGTACTTGCAGTAGCTAACGACCTTGGCAGCGTCCTCCTATTAGAAGCAGAAAAGCGGGTGTTAGCATTTTAGGTACAGATACGACGGATAAAGAGAAAAGTGCGAACGCAGCGGTCCGGGTTGCACATACTGCAGAGTGACACATAGGAGTCATGACTCCGTGGGCACCGGCATCAAGAGCACGCTTGATCATCCACTCTTCGGGCCAGGGCACACGGATAATAGGACTAGCACCCTCGTGGCCGACGGCATTAGTGAGCTAGATGTGATTGTCAATAATGAATTCTCGAGTTCAATTCACTCGAATGACAAACCTCGTAATAGTGGGTGTCGTTAATCAATCCATGTTCGGCGTCAACTAGAACCCAGCTGAATCCACCTTCCGAGAACTCGGGGCTGCGGCGGAGAATTGTCTTTGCGACGGCGGCACTGGGGAGGCTGTGGTAGGAGGCCAGTTAGCTCGGTTTCTTTTTCCCTTGTTAGATACAGCTTTGTGGTTGAGAAGAGCAGCGGGGGGATAGTGATGCCCCTCTCCAAATGCGGGGTGTAAACATACGTCAACCAGAAGCCGTATGCCACTGGCGTGGTTTCCAAAGCTGAGCGGAGTATGATGGAAGACATTGTTTAAGACAGAGAAGAATCTGTGTGATAGATGAAGAGTAGAAAGACTGTCTTTTCTTTCTAACGATGTTCTTTATGTTCTTGCGCTGAGAGGACAACTCGGCCTTCCTCCGACCGATTACCCGAGGCCCCCCACACGTTTGAAAGGGCCAATTTGGAGAAGTGTTATTTGTATTATATTTATTGGGTTAGTATCTATGGTACAAAGTATCGCGTGATTAAAGTCTACTTGAAGTGATTGAGGCTTTTAGGGAGGGAAGATGCAGCCCAATTAGGGCTATCGTCTCTTAACTATAGCAAGCACCCTACGGGGAATCCCCGTGCTCGGTGATGGACTCCCCCGAAGGCCCGAATATATTCTAGTGTGGATGATATATATGATATATATAACGGAAGTATGTCCTTGGGATAGTCGGATGCTCATACAATGTCGAGCGGTTTTGGTAAATTTGTAGTTAACTCGGTCACCATGACGCCACGGCCATTAGAATTATAAGTTTTTGAAGACGAAAACATAGTTAGCTGATAGCGCCAGTGATTTAAAAAGCAATATGTCCAGCGAAGGCTTAGTAACACCCTTCCTGGGTGCACTACAAGCCTGTGTTTCCGTGCTGTTAACAATGGGCTATGGTTTTGCTGCTCGTCGGCTCCATTTGCTCCAGGAGACTACAATCAATGACATGTTGGGATTAGGCATGAAACTCCTCCTACCGGCACTACTCATCGTGAATCTTGGCGAGCAGCTTCATCTCCAGACAGCGATGAACTATATCCCAGTTATAAGTATATCATGGCGACCCTTGTTGAACCCAGCATAACGAACACTAACCTATCGCATCCATCTATTACTAGTCTGGTCAGTTCTCTACACATCTGCATCCATTGGCCTCGGCCATTTATCGTCATATCTGCTTGGCCTACCTCAATGGGTTACACCGGCTTGCTCGTTCAACAACACTACGTCTCTACCCTTGTTACTTCTTCACTCCCTTGGGAGCGTAGGAAGTTTAAAACTGATCCTACGACATGGTGAAACCACATCATCGGCAATCTCCCGTGCTCAGAGTTACTTCCTTGTTTGCGGGGTGATCAGCAAGACCATCGCCTATGTCGTCGGACCGAGGATGTTACAAGATCGTGGAGACGGTCTTAGTAGCTCAGAGGAGCGACACCATATCCTAGCACAGGACGAGCAACTCACCGAAGAAACCTCACTGCTCCCGCAGCGCGCCCAACAAGCCCGAACATCAGCTGGGAACCTGATTCGGAGGTCGACGCACTGGCTGGGCTCATTATTCCCGCACCGAGTCAAGCAAGAACTACTCGCACCCTTCGAATATCCATTAGCAGACGTGGCAATAATCTGCATGATTGTCGGTACGGTGCTGGGTCTAGTCCCCGTGTTGCACCGGGCATTCTTCAATGATGAAGATGATGGCGGGATATTCACCGCGTGGCTGACTGCAAGTGTGAGCAACATCGGCGGGCTGTTTACAACGCTGCAAATGTTCATGGTTGGGTGTAGGCTTGGGGTCACGTTCGAGCGGACGGTTGCAGAAGGGAATTCGGCCCGTATCCCCATCAAGGCTATCACCACTATCTTTGTTGTTCGTTTGGTGATCTGGCCGGCACTAAGTATTTCACTGATTTATGGACTGGCTAAGAGGACTCGTCTCCTTGGTGATGATCCAATGCTCTGGTTTAGTATGATGCTGATGCCTGCTGGTCCACCGGCGCTGGTGATTTCGGGGTTGGTGGAATTGGCGCAGGCGTCTGAGATGGAAAAGATGGTTATTGCGAAAACGTTGACGGTACGTGGCTTTACGGAAAAAAGACATTTCGCTGACTATATCTATAGATCATGTATGCGTTGTCGCCATTTATATGTTTTAGTATTACGGGAGCGCTTAAAGCTTCCGAGGCAGTGTTGAAAGAGAAACGATGAGATCTACATGTCACGGAAAAGACTCGGGAGTAAATTTTTGATTTGAGAGATCGAATTTAATCTCTATGGACTTTGATTTCTTGCGTCAAATCATCACCATATTCATCTTTGGAGTCGGAGACGTGGAGAAATAATTTACTTCTAAGATTAGACAGCTGAATTAGTTTTTGAACGTGAAACATTCCAAGGTTATGAGGATATCACGTACTCCGCATCCCTTGCAGTTACAGTTGTCGCCACAGGAGCAGCTCTGGGCACCGCCCGTACAGTTGCAGTTAGATCCGCAACCACAACCCATGATGAAAAGATGTGGAATAAGTTGGAAGGTAGTGGTAATAGTATTTGTAGGAATGTAGAAGTATAGGAATAGTGGTGAAAATGAAGAGGACCTTGGAGATTGAAGAGTGCAAAATAAGAGGACTATATATCCGTATAACTGGCATCATCATCATGGCGTCAGTGGAGAAACCAAGGCAGCTTTTACTACAGGAATTATGTAATGGAGTAGTAATCTGTCCATATGGATAACTACCCTACATCCGGCAATATATATAGCAGAATGTAAGTATCATTGACATCTGTGTATCAATGATCGGAAGAACGTCGTTGCGGAACAGTAACACGATATATAATGTACGGCAAGAGAGCGGAAAATAAGAAAGAATAGACGAATGAGAAGAGATTGGTTGTTTGCGGAACATTTTGATAGAATATGGATGTAGAATTCTACTAGAGACCACACCCGTACGGAGTATACTTCGGCGATTCCAAAGTTAACTAGTCCAAGTGCTTTGTATTGCTTATTAAGCCTGTATAGCTCCCGAGGTAGATTGGTAGAGGAGCTTTCATAGCTATCTCACGTTGGTATATTGCTCGTAACGCTCTTTCTAGGGAAAAAACGGCGCTAGATCGGGGAGCTCGCTATGAGCAAGCAATCTTGTTTTCATTCGAAGATACTCAAGCGTATAGATCGATTTTCTTGTTGACAGTAGTTGCTCGATCAAGCTATTGACTGTATGAGGCGTCATATATGTCCACATGACGATCAACAATGGGGGAGTGTCCCTTCCCAAATAGGCAGGGCACCTTCCTCAACGATAAACATCCTACCTATATAACCTTCCTCCATTCCCCATCTTCCATCTAAGGTTTTCTTTAAGGATAGTGACTCCAGCCTCTTGGGGTAAACATGGGAAACATGACAGCTAATAGGCGAGGAAGGTAGAGACAGAGGTATAGATTAGATGTATGATATATATGAGTACTTCAACGAATATTCAAGTAGTTTATATGTTTTACTGTCGTACAAATATATCTATACCTGTACTCATATAGTAAGGGAGCACATAAGGTGTTACGCTCTATGTACGGAGTAGATCGTGGACCTTTTCCGCGCGTACCTGGCCTACCCAACCACCCAATCCTCTTTTTTATTTTCTGCACTTTCAACCATTCGAAATTTAACATCCGACATTTGACATCTGATAACTTGACATTTCACATCAATATTCAGACTTTGCTTTCTCAGACTGGCAGTTCTCTCTTCCACCGATAAGCCCCAACCAGTTCCCAATCAAAGCGGAGAACATCACAACCGCGTGATTTCGCAAGATCTACAGCTCTTTGATCATTTGCTACATCTATGACTATTAGCCCGAGCTAGTGACCGTCCATTTGACCTTGTGACAGCTGCATCGCCCCTCCTCAACGGAGCTCCCGGCGATTACTTATCGGACAACCCGCCACCGCTTGAGGTCTGCTCACCTGGTTCTTTCAAAGAGCCAGGAGATTGGGCAGATCTAAAGATACTGTCGAACTGGCTCACAATTCATCACCGCATCATCCCTATATCACCTCCGACCACCCTGATCCTCCTTTACCCGTCAATACAGCTCCCGCCTCGGTAGGCAATACCGGTTCCCAAACGTCAGAGTTCCTGTCCGCCGCATCTCAACCACCCAGCTCATCTACCCCTCGGCCTAACCGTCGCCGCCGTCTTTCGAGCAGCCCGGATAACGTTGGTCCCTCATCGGCGGGGACCGGAAACCTTCCACAAATAGCACGTGATACTGTATCTCAGAATCACCCCAGTCATCGTCTTGGCCGACCGGACGACCGATCTCCTTCCCCCAAGCGCAGGCGCCTGGTAATCATGCGTCCCGACGGAACATCAACAGAAAATGGCTTCGTAGACGCCTCGAACGAATCACTTGCATCATCGAGGAAGGCTGGTTTGAACGGACAAGCGGCAACCAACGGGAGCTCTCACGCAAATGGCCCTAAAAGGCCATCCCAGTCTTCGACTTACTACGGCCATAACCGGGAGGAGGTGACGCGGATTTTGATACAGAGTCTATATGAGCTGGGTTATAATGAGTCGGCATCCCTGTTAAGCTCGGAGAGCGGCTATGAACTGGAGACGTCGGGGGTCGCAACGTTCCGAAGTGCGGTGTTGGGCGGAAGATGGCCGGAGGCCGAGAGAATCTTGATTCAGTCGTTTCGAAATGCCGGGTCACAACAGGTCGACAGGAAATCTTCACAAGAGGAGACCTTGGTATTAGCAGAGGAGGCCGATAAGAACGAGATGCTATTCTATCTCCGGCAACAGAAATTCCTCGAGATGCTAGAAGCGCGTGATCTAGCTGCAGCTCTCAACGTCCTTCGCCAAGAACTGACGCCCTTGAATTTTGATGTTGAACGTCTACACGCCCTATCAAGGTATTGCCGATCTATAGATATTTCTAGAACCCGATTTGCTTACCAGTTATTTTGGTTAGTCTTCTTATGTGCTCAACCGAAGTCTTACATACTCAAACTGGATGGGATGGCTCTGTTACCTCGTCTCGTGAACGACTGCTTGGCGAGTTGTCAAGTGAGTCTAATCTAATGCCCAATGTCTGTGGTGTAACCGGGGTGCTAATTTTAGCCGCAGAATCCATTTCTCCTTCTGTAATGATCCCGCAACACCGCCTGGCTATCTTACTAGATCACGTCAAGCGGACTCAAATCAACAACTGCTTTTATCACAATACCGCCGAGCCTCCGTCGCTCTACTCTGACCATATGTGCGACCGAAATGACTTCCCTTTAGATGTCATTGTGGACTTGACTCAGCACTCAGATGAAGTATGGTATTGCGAGTTTTCTCACGATGGATCTAAGCTGGTTACTGCGGGCAAGGACCATAACGTGCTGATCTACAACACAGCCGACTTCAGTGTTCTTCACAGACTTACGGAACACGAGGACGGAGTTGCGTTTGCCAGTTGGAGTCCAGATGACTCAAAACTAATTACTTGCTCGCAAGATAAGAAGGCACGCGTATGGAGCGTTGAGGTAATGATTCCTAAAATCTCATGTAAATCCATAATGATATACTAACTCGGGTTGTGCATGGTTTAGAGCGGTCGTTGTCTGCTCACCATCAACCACCACCGTCAACCGGTGACTGCAGCTGCCTGGGCACCAGATGGTGAATCTTTCGTGACAGCCTCTCTCGATGCCGAATCACAGCTCCGTCACTGGAGCATGCGGGGTCAGTCTCTATACACGTGGAAAGGCGGATTCCGTGTACAGGACTGTGCCATTAGCCCTGATGGACGACGCCTTGTCGCTGCCGACACAGAAGCGAAGATTCATGTGTACAACATGCTTACATACGAAGAAGACTACTGTCTCCCACTGCCGAGCAAACCGACCTCGGTTGCTATCAGTAAAGACTCGCGGCATGTGCTTATTAATCTGGCTGAGGGCGAGATCCAACTAGTTGACATGGAAACCACTGCACTTGTCCGACAGTTCAAGGGACAGAAGCAAGGTGAGTTCGTGATTCGCAGCACGTTCGGAGGAGCAGCCGAGAATTTTGTCGTCAGCGGAAGTGAAGGTGAGTACCTCAATATGTCATTTCTGGTATCGCTTCTAACTATCTCCAGACTCGAAAGTCTACATCTGGCACAAGGAAAATGGCAACATCGTAGAGACTCTGGAGGGACATATCTCCGGATGCGTGAACTCAATATCATGGAACCCAGCAGACCCGGGAATGTTCGCATCGGCAGGCGACGACAATGCAGTAAGGATGTAAGAATCCCTCTCATCCTCGTCTCACATTGAAGAGCACCGCTAACTCGAACTTCCAGCTGGTCTCGAGAGAGCAATCGATCCCGTCCAACAGGACCAGTGCAACGCAGCGGGTTACCCTCAAATGGCTTCACGCGGACTAGCGCATTGAGGACGACATCCACTTTCTGATATCCACATCGACAATGACTACCACGAAACCAGTTCTGTTCACGCTCGTTGCCTGTCTTTATTTAGTTTCCGCGATACCGTACCTGATTGAGGGAACATACCCGGAGCTTTGGATTGAAAGATGATAAACCTGCTGTTTCGCAATGTTTTCTTGTTCTTCATGAATTCTCTTCTGTGTTCTTCCCTCTCCCCTCATCAACTGCCCGTCATATCCTCATTCTGTCTTGCGCATATACATCGTTTGAATTCCCCTTTCACTCCTTATGCTGTTTACGCTCTGCAGCTAGCATCTATTTCTTTAATACAGGAAGCTGGCGTTGGTCCGTATCTTCTTTCTGGGTTCTGGGTTCTGGGTTCTGAGAAGTATATATGTTGTGTCCTTTTTTTGGTCCAGTTCTGAGTTGGGTTTTTCTTTGGGGGGGCTTGGCATGTTTTGCTCCAAATCTTTAAATCAAATCTACCATTCACACTATTTTCTAGTAGAGGTTCGCTCTAGTAGGAATTAACTAGCGTAAACATGGAGCAACAGAAGTTGACGCGTGGTAGGTATCTCACTGGTGAATTTAAGTCGCCAGACGAGAGACTTGGGGCCAAGAAGTAGAGGCACATTGTACGAAAGTAAAACAAATCCATCATTCATGATTCCTATGTCAAAAAGTAATAAAAGAAGAAACTCCGAAGTCAAAAAAAGTCCCTGCTACTTAGGCCGAGGCCCGAAATTTTAGAAATAAGCAAAATCGTAAACACCTCCTGGGGTGTGCGAATCGGTTGGCATTCTTGAAAACTACCTCGGATTGTTAGTTTTGTTGAGTGAATGGTAGCAAGTTCCAAATTCGACTTACTGAAATATGTTATTATCCCTTTCCTCCACGCTAGAGCTGGCCTTGTATTTTCCTCAAACCATTTGTGCCGGATTCCGAGTCATATTCAATCAACGATACAAGCGCACTCTATTTGCAGAAGACCCCAGAAGGAATGAAGCCAAGTCGCTTTTTGGCGTAGGAAAAGATGTTACAATCACAATATCAGACAGTGGGGATTATGAAAGCAAGTCCGCAACTGCAATAACATTGTTAGCATAGCAATAGAAATATTATAGCTGCGTGGCTTACCATTCATTGGCATCTCATCAATTTGAGTCGAGTAGTACAACTCGATGTCGCGAAGAATGCGGACATCATCGGTGGTGACAAAGTTGATGGCCACACCCTTGCGGCCGAATCGTCCAGATCGACCGATACGGTGAATGTAGTTCTCACGGTTGGTAGGCAGATCGTAGTTGATAACAAGAGAGACTTGTTGGACATCGATACCACGGGCCCAGACATCAGTAGAAATGAGGACACGGGAATTACCCTGACGGAAGTCTTGCATAATACTATCACGCTCTTTCTGAGGCATCTCGCCGTGCATACTAGAGACGGTGAAATTGGCCTCACGCATCTTGTCGGCAAGCCAGTCGACCTTTCGGCGAGTGTTGCAGAAGATAACGGCCTGGGTGATAGTCAAGGTGTCGTACAGATCGCAAAGTGTGTCGAACTTCCATTCCTCTTTCTCGACGGCGATGAAGTATTGCTTGATGCCCTCTAGTGTCAACTCGTCACGCTTGACCAGGACACGGACGGGGTCAGTCATGAACTTGGTGGTCATGTCCAAGACATCGTATGGGAGGGTGGCTGAGACCACGACGACCTGCGTCGCGGGGGGCAGGTAACGGTAAACATCGTAAATCTGCTCACGGAAACCGCGATTAAGGAGCTCGTCGGCCTCATCGAGAACGAGCATCTTGATATGACGTGTGCGCAGGTTTCGGCGACGAATCATATCGGCTACACGACCAGGAGTTCCTGAGACAACGTGTTGGCCGTACTCGAGTTTGCGGATATCTTCGCCAACATTGGTTCCTCCGATACAAGCGTGACACTGAACGTTCATGTAATCACCAAGGGCCATAATGACGGATTGAATTTGGGTTGCGAGTTCACGAGTCGGGGACAGGACCAGAGCTGTTACAAACCGGATCGTGGTTAGGACTGGTTCTGATCATATTGGACAGAGTGGTACATACCTTGGGTCTCGCGCACAACAGTATCAATGATCTGCAGGGTACTGATCGCGAATGTGGCAGTTTTACCAGTACCGGACTGGGCCTGGGCAATCGTGTCGCGACCTTTGCAGATTTGAACAATCGCACGGGATTGCACAGCCGAAGGCGATTCGTATCCATAAGCGTACACTCCACGAAGCAGGCTTTCCTTCAAATGCATGTCCTCGAAGGTCGGCGCGACCGTCACTTCCTTGGAGGTGTTGAATTCCATGCGCTCTAGTTGCTGTTAGCATGCTTCATGTTGTCCCAATGTTAGAACCACATACCCTCGGCGCGTCTGTCGATTCCGTCCGCCATGATGTAAGTGTGAGTATTTCAACGGCAGATAATAAATGATATCGGAATTCACGAAGAGTGAAGCCTTACGTGAGTGAGGTCAACTGGCCTAACTTTTCGCGGTGGAAAGGTTCGAGTCACATGACCTTCCCGCAAGTTGGAGCTGCCAAATGTCAACGTCTTTTGCGATCGCCACGCAACTTTGTCAACACACTTTGCGCGCCGATAAAAAGCTTTTCTTACGCAGCAGTCATATTGAAAATATGTTGCTCGAAGATCAAAGGTTCATCCACGAGGATCTAGAGCGGCTAGAACAGGCTATCGCTGATCGCGTGGCGGAAGAGCCCCGAAATGTGAGTATACCGCCCAAAATTGTCAGTCACACTTTCTCATATACCGATTAATCAGGCTCGAGGCCACTTGGCTCGCGACCATGAAGTCTCCCAGTTCCTAGACAGAATTGAGAGTCAGTCCCAGCGACTCTTAGAGATCTACCGGGACGCCGATGGATTGCGGCAGAAGGAAGTGCAGTCTATCTCGACAGGCGATCAATTCGAGGAGTTTTACAAGCAGCTGGGGGAAATTAAAGAACACCACAAGCGCTACCCGAACGAACCAACCGAGAACCTCGAGCAAGCATATAATCGCCGTCAGACCGGCGAAGGAGAGGCTCCCCGCACCGCAATCGATAATATGTTCACTGGCGAAGAAGGCTTTGGACAGTATCTGGATCTCACAACTATTCACGAAGATTACCTGAATCTTCCCGGGGTTAAGCGCTTGTCATACGTCCAATACCTCGATATCTTCGACTGCTTCACATCCCCCGTTTTGCCAATTAAGCGGAAAGACAAGCTCTCTGATCGTTATTTCAACTATGTTGGCGAGCTTGCTAGCTATCTGGAAAGTTTCATCAAGAGAGTTCAGCCACTGCAACCCTTGAACGAGCTTTTCGCCAGCTTCGACCAGGAATTCGAAAAACAATGGGCTGCGAAGGAGGTTCCCGGCTGGACAGATGAAAAGTCTGCGAATGGTGCGTCTGGCCCAGCTACCGAAGGGACCGGTGAGGGTATTTGGTGCGCAGATTGCGAGAAGGAATTTAAGAATGAGAACGTCCTCCGGAGCCACTTGACCGGCAAGAAACATATTCGGGCGGCAGAAGCCCGCAAAGCAGCAGGCGCATCCAACGAGAAACCATCAGCATCTCAAGGCACATCTTCGGCCCATAGCCTCAAGGAGCGCGAAGTTGCACGACGCGAACACCAAGTTCGATCCTTGGCGAATGTTCTGCGCGAGCAGCGACAAGCGACACGAATCAATGTTGAGCGCCGACAGGGTATGACTGAACGTGAACGCCAAATGGAATGGGAAGCTGTGCAGGCTGGGCTCGATCACACAGGTCCCGAGCCTCGTGCCGGCGAAGAATCAGATGAAGAGGACGAGGAGGTTATCTACAACCCATTGAAATTGCCACTGGCATGGGATGGAAAACCTATTCCGTTCTGGCTCTACAAGCTCCATGGCCTCGGTGTCGAATATCAGTGCGAGATTTGCGGAAACTACACCTACATGGGTCGACGAGCATTCGACAAACACTTCTCTGAAAACCTCCACGTCCACGGATTGAAGTGTCTCGGCATTACCTCCAACACCAATCTCTTCCGTGAGATCACCAGTATCAATGAGGCTATGGCGCTTTGGGATCAGCTCGAAAAGGATCGGAAGAAGGATAGAGATTCACGGGATAATGTCGTTCAGATGGAGGATGCAGAGGGTAACGTTATGCCCGAAAGGATCTACTTGGATTTGCAAAAGCAGGGTATTCTCTAAAGGGAGAGGGCTTCATGTTCCTCCTTTTTTGTTCCACAATGGCGTCCTTGATTTCATACAAATGGCTCGGTGTTCGGCGAATGCATAGTCTTCAACCCCATTTTCAGGTTTGAATTAGCTCACGGGCTCCTGTTATCTCATTCTACCACAAACTTACTGTTATGAATAAAACATCCAATTTTTTATTACAACTGCATTCTCCAGCCGCTAGTGCTATAGTGAATTTAGACTGCCAGCTGTGCCTTTGAATTGGCTCTTGAAGATCTAACCTTTACATCCTCCGTACCTTTCACTCGATTAAAATAGCAGATGGCAACCGGCCGTAGGTAAGGCCTCTTTAGTTCCTCGATTTACCTTCCATGCTACACCTAGTAAGCAACTTTCAAGATCAAGCGTGAGATGATCCAATCTCCCAGTTACAATCCTTGAATTTGATATCCAGAAACTGGGGTCTAAAGCCCTTGTGTTCACAAATGATGGGAAAGCCATACATACCATATCATCAACTCTCGGCTCTACACGTTAATGACATGCCACTGCATATTGCTTTACTAACTGTATCGTCAAGCTTCCATCCAGATACCAAGCTAATACGATAGCCCCCGAAGGTAACCATCTAGATAGCGCTCGGATTGTTCGTCTTTCAACCTGAGAAGCCGCTCCACGCCGTACCGTAACATCCCGATCGCCTTCTGTGACTCCAGTTGCTCTTTTGTCATTCCCCCAAGTCCCTGGGTAGCAAGACTAGCCAGAGCCCGATCGTAAAACGCCGTCTCGAGTTCCTGGCGATCCTCCGTGTCATGCCAGCCACTTGGCGTCATGAACCCAAAGAGATTATCCATAAAATGGAAATTTGACCCAACTGGGAGGTATAAAGCACCATCCCAGTCGAGTACAGCTCGAACCCGACCCGTGGACTCTTCGATGAGGTAATTGAATGGAGCGAGATCCTGGTGGGTAAGGGCGATAGGGAGGACGGCGAGATCCTGTAGCTGTGGTAGGAGTTCGCTGATACAAGTAGAAATCCTGTTTCTAAGACTTGTATTTTGGAAAACGTGGTTATTGACCGTATGACGGATTTCATCAAGAGTAGAGGTAAGGTCTGATACGGTAGTGTCGGATATAGTAGTGTTCGCTCTGGCTCCCCGAGTAACCAGGTCTGCGAGGTCCATAACAGTCACCATCTTCTGCTGGAGCGGTATATCAAAGTCCCGAGAAGATAACAAGACATTGATATACGGTATCCCTTCTGCAAGAGGCGATATATATACAAACAGCTCTTCGTACATGCCCTGGTATGTTACCAAGGGTACAATAGGTCCATGAATGCGGCTGGCTTCGGTGACTCCGAAGAGGTCTTGCTTTTCGCTTCGAAACTGGACGGCCTTGTGCTGGTTGGCGTGTGTGGAGTGAGTATGTAATATAGTAGTATAGCTCATGCTTCCCTGGAAAGCGCTGGGTTGAACGTCTACCTTGCCGGTAGTGTTGGGAAGAAATATCGGGGCAATATGGTGTAAGACAAATTGATCACACGATATCTGGGAGAGGTTTGGTAGTGGCTCGAAGAATTGTGCCACGACGAGACTCTGGTAATCGTCCATTGTAAGAGCGTGTATAATTGTGGTTTAAGGGAGGCATATTGCCCGCATCGGAAGAGGGAAATAGGTTTCAAGTTGAGACTGGCCAGAATAATTTGTCATCTGACGATTTATCTCACAAATTACAAGGGTCCCAGTCTAACTGCAGAGTTTACCTGCAGTATGTGTTGTAATATAACTATTTCCCACATCTGAAGGGACATCTAAAAAGACTACAAACCCAAGGGTGAGCCAGGTCACAATTTACTACAGGAAGCTGTTTCTTGATCGTCGTGCTCCAATAACCTGTCTAGATCCCTTTCTCGGGGAACCTTTGCCATCTCGTCTCCTCCGACCAGCCGAAATCCCAATAAAGATTGTTCTCCCACAGAGGATAGTAAGCCTTTTATCGTAGGGGTCTGGTGTGTATCAAGCGATAGCTTGGAGAGAGGGAAAATCAAAAACAACCACAGAGGTTGATATAAGGCCTTTAGCTAATAATAGCTTCCGGTCACGAGAGGATATCTGACTTGACTGGGATACTTCGTGAGGATCGCTTCTCTAGCCTCTATAATTTGAGAGAGATCCACGACGAGGCCCGATCTTCGAAAGAGGGTAATTTGATCGTCCGTCCAATACCTGCAGCCCCGGCCCTGGGAATCGAACTCATACCGATGGCGATTGTGCTGTAGGAGCAAGTCGATGAAATCCTTCACTTTGGTACCAGTCCGAACTTGAATTTTCACAGCCTTTTCTGCAAGTTCCGAGTAGATGTATGATAAAAGGCTAATAAGCATAAAGGCCTTCAATCCACCCGGCATCTTGATGGCAGGAACGTTATAAGATGGCGTAGCATCAATACACACTGACCTACCATCGCCAACACCTAGGTACAGGCACCAGTGGTTGCCTCCCTCGGAAAGTGGCTGATGGCCAACAGCGTAGAGAAATAGCACAGTGCTATTCAGCATGTCTTCCTTTTCAGCCGAGGGGATAAATCGCACAGGTTGGAAAGAGGGCACTTGGTTATACATTCTAGAGAAAGGAGGTTCGCTACAATATCATCTGTGATTAGCTTCGATCTGACCAGACTAAGGACTTATTCTCACAGGAGATAGAGAGTGGGCACAAGTTTGTAGGGCGAGTTGAGGGGAAAGAGGAAAGCTGTGCTCTCTGGACTGATTCATGGCTGGGTACTAGTGCTAGCTGCCTATTATACGTACATCCATGTAGGTACCCAAGCATATTGCTCATCTAATAAGATAACAAGGTTATTGGTCTATACACGATAGCAAGCGGAGAAAGTGAGCGGTAAATAGTAGAGCAAAGGGAGCAAGATAGTAGGGACTAAAATGTGGATTCATCTAAATTCTTGAATAGATTCTACATACCTAACACGACGATGTTTGTATAGTTATTCACTAGGATGTGCTCACGTGGGTACGGAGCCCATGCAGCTTCCCACTCTTCACATCTTCACATCTTCAGGTCATATTTCTCATTTATCAATATGTTCTAACCTCGTTGTTATATATCTTGTGGTTCTGTTTTCTTCTACAAGTAGCCCAATATCCCCTATGCCGATCTCGTGTTTGTTCTAGGCGTCTACCCCGCTTGGTGATAAAATGGACTTGTTACCCCCTGACATATATGAAGTGGGAGAATCTGTCTCCCTACACGCTTATTCTAAGCTAACAAAATGTTTCTCTTAGCCTGTCGGCGGAAAAGGCCCAGAACCTGAAAAATACCCCCTCGATGGCGTTGACGTTTCCCTTGTTTCAGATGAAACCCTGACCCAACTCTTCAACACAGCACCGATTCTTCATAACTACCAAGGGACACGGATTGTGCGCTTGTCACGAACATTGATTATTAAAGGAGGGATAAACTCACGACCAGGTGAGGCCAATATCCTTGACCTCATTGCCAAGGCTGGGGAGAGGGGAGAAATACCATCAATCCCAGTGCCCAAAGTCCATCGAGTGTTGAATATTCAACGAAGGTTGTCTTCTTCGGGGCTAGATGCCTGATAGTCATGGACTTTGTGAGCGGTAGAACAGTCGAGGATTGCTGGAAGACCTAACTCAAATTGAACGCAAGGACGTCGTCTCTAAAGTTGCTGCAATCATCAACAATCTACACCTTATCCCCCTACCCAAAGAACAAGAGTAACTACCAGGCCCAGTAAGGCTGCCCAACCTGTTTCGTGTGTGGTTGCCATTTTCCAGACGCGGGTGCTGGCCCATTCAGCTCGACAGAGCAACTACAGGCCTGGTTCAATCGGCGACTTGAGATCACCCAACAACTTCATCGCGCACCACCTGATGCTACACCGTTTGTTTTCAACAAGTTAACTCTCACCCACTATGATATAGCACCCCGCAACTTGATCCTGGATTCCGAGGGCAAAGTCTGGCTGATTGACTGGGGAGATGCTGGGATATATCCAGAAGGGCTTGAGTTTGCGGCACTGAATACACGGAGAGATGAGTCTTCAGAGTTAACTGAGATGCTCTCTGAAATGATCCCTAGATGTGAAGAGCTATCGCACCAAATGCTCCTCATCGCATTTGCTTTGACTACGGGACAATGGATCGATTCGAGGCTTTTTTAACTGTTCGCTAGTTGATATCAAATATTTTGGCCTTCTATTTCGGGAAGATCACGCACTTGGATACTCTAAATACCCTCAAAATCACAAGGACTCACCTATTTCTCCATTTTCTCCATATAATGGGGCTAATGTGGTCACGTGCTCACGTGTCATCTTCTTTCCTCTTTTCGCGTTCGGACGGCGCGGCCAAAGTCTCGACCTCGGGAGTCGCGAGTTTTGACCTCCTTGACTGTACCTCAAATTATTCCACGGTTTTATGCAGAGTTATTAGGTAACTCGCGTGGATATGGGTCATGGGCTTCAAATTCACCCTCTTGTGTGATCTGCTGTCCAACCTAGACAATAGCAAAACGGCCAAGGCATCCACGGCGGCCAGGAACCAGAATCCTGACACTAAAACAGTCGCCCAGTGGTTCGCTCGACACGAACGGACCATCCATGATGCCAAAACAGACAGGGTGGCGTTGCTTTCCTGCATGTTCCCCGAAAAACGAACGGACCGGGTATACTGGTTGCAAGCAATGCAGCTATCAAGAGTCATCGGGCGCTGCTTAGGCTTGGGATCGTCGAGACTTTCTGAACTGAATCGATGGCAAAGTCCTGGTGGTTTTGATCTCGGAGCATGTGTTGAAACTGTCATGCGGCAAGCCGAGAATTACATCCCGGCGGGCCAGGAGTTATCGGTAGAAGAAATCGATCGCGCCATGGTGAGAATTGCATCGCGTTGCCGCTTCTCTGGCCCTCAAGTTCGCCGGACCCGTACAGCTGTGGACGTTGAAGAAACTCTATCAAAACTGTATCGTCGATTGAGTAGCCGGGACGCGAAATGGCTCACTCGCATGATTCTCAAAAGCTACTCCCCGGTCGTTTTTCCACAAAATTATACTCTGAAGAAATTCCACTTTCTTCTTCCGCAATTACTCCAGCTTCAGAACTCTTTCGAAGGGGCGTTGGAGATACTTGCCTCGGACCCAATAAACAATTTCCCTCCAAACCCGGATCCCCAAACAGCCAGAAGTCTGAACGAAATTGCCCTACAGCATATGCGCCCTCGTCCTGGTATCAAGGTTGGACGACCTGATTATTACAAAGCTCGGAGTATCAAACATTGTCACCAAATGGTCAACGGTCGTCGAATGAGCATCGAACGGAAATACGATGGTGAATACTGTCAGATCCACGTCGAACTCTCTAACAAATATACGCCCATTCAGATTTTCTCGAAAAGTGGCAAGGATTCGACCGCAGATAAAGATAAGATCATACCTGTGATAGAAGAATCGCTCCGCACTGGATTGCCTGGCTGCGAATTTACGTCTCGCTGTATTGTTGAGGGAGAACTGCTTGTGTGGAATGACCAGAGTGGTCAAGTGATGGATTTCAACAAAATTCGGAGGTTTATTCCAAGATCTGGCACCATGATTGGCGTTGATAATGATTCTCCGTAAATCACCATTTCTATAAAATGATAGGTCTTTTTGCTGATTGATACAGGCCACAACCGTACGAGCACTTGATGATCATGTTCTTTGACATTCTTCTCCTCGATGACGACGTATGCCTTGCCAAGCCCCATCGGGAAAGACGACTGCTCTTACAGAAAGTGGTGAAGACCATCCCGGGCCGAGCGGATCTCGCCTATCAGGAAGTTCTGGACTTCAACCGAGCTGATAGCTACCATCGGCTCGAAAAGAGTTTTGAGAAAGCAATCGCTAAACGTTGGGAAGGGTATGTCTTGAAGGCTTCCGACGAGCCTTATTTTCCGATATACTCTACTGGTGTAGACCATATGTTTGGCCGATGGATCAAACTCAAGAAAGATTATATACCTGGTCTTGGAGACACATTAGACCTTGCGTTGATCGGAGCTAGCTACAACGCGCGAGATGCTTCTGATCTGCGACAAATCAAAGGGCTGAAATGGACACACTTTTTTGTTGGCTGTCTTCTGAATCCAGATCGGGTCAAAGAGGGCGATGCTTTGCCGCATTTTCAAATCGTCGATGTGATTAACCGACATAGCATGAGCATTCAGACCATGCAAACTCTTAATCAAATCGGCGAGTTTTATGCACGTGAACCTGAAACGTTCGAAGGCTTTCATATTGATTACGGGCACGAAGCTCTCCCCACTGCAACCAAATTGTTCAAGTACCCGTTCATCGTCGAGATGCTGGGCAGTGGGTTTGAAAAACCGTCTGGTGCGAGATACTCCACACTTCGATTTCCTCGGATTTTGAAGATACACTCGGACCGAACGCTGGCGGACTGTACTTCTTTCTATGAACTGCAGCTGTCAGCAGAACATGCCCGGGCTGTGCCTGCAGATGAACTGGAGGAACGTGAAAGATGGTCCAAACGCCTTAAGGTTGGGGGTCAACCTGATCAATATATTGTGCGATCTCGAAGCCCAGAAGCGACTTGTTCAGACACCGACGATGAGACAAATCCCCCGTCATCCCAGGCTCACCAAGCCGTCACTACTTCTGGAGAAAGCCTTATGGACGCGAGTCCATTGATAGAAGGGCTGGTTGAAGATTCAATGATAAAAGACAGCCATGATCATCCACTGTCCCCTCTAGTCTATATCGATGAGACGACACTTCCCACGGAAGAGGAGAACTCTGTTCTTGAGAGCATTATACTCGTGGACAATGAAAATCTATCATCTCGTCAACATCGTAGCCAGAAGGATGGAAAGATCGCATGGCAGGAATCTTCGAGCTTTTCACGTCCCATATGGGCAACCAAATTCATTTCTGCACGCAAAGAACACTCTCAAAAATTATACGGGGCGCAGGAACCCCTTTCGGGCAAGATTTTGGTGCCTACATCGCCCAAGCAGAAACGCAAGATGCCACCCCAATCTCCTTTAACAACTATCCCCATATGGACGCCGGGAACATCACTGGGAAGTTTTACACTCCCGCAGATGTATGAAAAGCCCAGCAATGATCGCGATTTGGATGAATTTGTTCGGTGTCTCTGCTCTGATGAATCTGCTTCTTCCCTTCAAAAGTCCAACCCTTATACCGCATCGCAGGGGTCCAGGTTTGGCATAGTCCTGTTTGATCCCATAGCAACTCAACTGGGGAAAGAGATGCACCGTCTTGCCAAGACTCTTTCCATTTTCGTTGATACTGGAGTATGTCCACTGCCCTCCATGGGAAGCATATTCTTTCTGGGCTCGAACATGTTGGAATGTGATCTACGCCCAGATGACCTTCGTTTCTGCCTGCGTGATACGTGGACAGATATTGGACGCGATTATTTCTACGGCTGTCTCTCATGGAGTCTCAGCAAGCGTTCTGAAGATATATCCACCGGAAGAGGGGACTTCCGCTCTGAATCGGATCGCTATTGTTATGATATGACAGAGACAACAGAGCCTCCGGTCTCGGCGGTCTCTGGACCAAGGACGCCATGGATTGAGATGAGCTTCGATGAAACAGCTATTGCTGTGTTGGGCGAGTATATCTCAATTGAACCTCTAGCTCATATCTTATATAATTAATACCCCTTTTCTTTCTACGAATGACAATTATACCACACTTGAAGGCTATTCATACAGAGACAGACTTTGCTTCTAGCTATTATTCATAAAGACCTGTCAAATCCATGGCTGGTTCGCTGTCATGATAATCCATACATATCTCATTCAATCAATGTGATTAGGTCGCATCCTCCCTTCTCGCCCGTACGTCCCTCATCAACGCCTTGGCCTCCTCCACTTCAATTCCATCCTGGCACAACTCGCTCGCTAGCTGGTCTGCACGGTCAAGATCACCGTTCCGTGACGCATATTGTGCCAACCACAACCGTGCCTTGGACGTAGTTGTTGTAACGCCGGTGCCGTTCCAGGTATCACTGACAATGGAGTCATCGTTCTGCATAGCGAGTGATTCAGCCTTCGCGCGAGGCTTCCAATTACGGCGATGTCGTTGCGACTGATCAGTGTCTTCGTCTCCTGAATGCTCAATCTCGGCATCGCTTTGAATGCCATGCTCCGAGACAGAGGTGTCGTCATCGTCTGCGTTTTCATTGACAGGAGCGCCGGACTCCTGCTGAAGAGTGAGTTCCATGTATGCAGCGGCCTCCTCTTCGTCACCGAGACGCTCGTACAGTGTCGCGATTTGGTGCAGGGTTTCTGGGTCAAGGATCTTGCGACTCCCAGAGCCAGGGCTTGCGCTAGTGGCCGATTGCCCGCCATCATCTGGCTGTAATGATCCAGCCACTAATGCACGCTTCAGAGCTTGAATACTCTGTTCCACTCGGCCCATCTTTGCGTAGCACGATCCGACTGCTTGCCACATCTTTGGATCGTACGGACGTAATGCTGCAGCGCGCTGGTAGTAAAACAGGGCGTAGAAAGACATATCTAAGACTTCATAGGCCTGTCCTAGACCGTACCAGGCGCGGTAATCCTTGCGATTGACATCGACGGCTCGACGGTATGACTCAATGGCGGTGTGAGTATTCTTCATCTCGATGTATTCATGTCCCATGAGGGTCCAGGCAGATAAGAAGTTCCGGTCAAGGGTGAGTGCACGCCGGAAGTACATTACTGCCTTCTCATGCTCGGATTTCAAGGAATAGTAGTTACCCACGACACAGCAGGTTTCTGGGCGGAATTTGTCGGTGGCCGTTGCAACCTGAGCGACGAACGCAAGTTGAGGTCGCTGGTCCATCACGTAAAGGATGTTCGAATAGTGATCTAGACTGTCTAAGCGGTGAGGTGATGTGGCAAGAATGCCTTCAAAGATATGAGATGCTTCTTCGAAGTCTGAATGATATTAGATCACGGAGTAATCGCGTGTTGCAGAGCCGGGGTAGTTACCTTTCGAGTGATATAGCAACAATGCGTGCTGTGTTTTGAGGAATGCGCTTTCTGGGAACATTGACTGTAGCTCGGAGAGCGACCGATATGTATCTTCTGTGGCCTGGTACAGCTCTTGGCTGCAGTAGACGTAGAATATTAAGCTCATGACGTTTTGCGGCAGAAGTTCGAGGATTTGTTTCAACTGTTGAAATTAGTACAGACGGAAGGAAATCTCAATGGGAATAACTTACGTCTTCCGTGCTGCCCAAGAGGTCGTTCAGTTCCTGCCAAGCACCCCAATGGTATGGGTTTTGATGCACACAGCGGATCAGCCATTTCTTCGCCAGCTCCTCATTGCGTCCTTTTGACAAGACAACAGCATAGAGATACTCCAACCATCCCTGCCCCCGGTCATCCAAACCCTGTGCGGTTCGTTCCGATAACCACCCATCTAAGCCCCTAGCGAGACCTGACAACTCTCTATTGACCGCCATCCCACCATCTGCTGGACCTAATACCATCTCAGTTTCCTCTTCCTTGCGCTTCTCTCCTGCTAAATACTTCGCGTATAGGGCGAGGAAGAGCGATTTCTGACTGAGTTCTGGATATGGATTTTGCTGTATTTGGGTCTTTTGGGTCTTTGAGCTTTGAAACGGCGAAGCTTTGTCCTTGCCCTTGTGTGAAGTCCGCGATGGCCTCGGCTTGGAGTTGGGGGAGGTAATTGACAAAGGAACTGGTGGTGTGGTCGGAGGGAGGAATACGGCCGCACATCGGTCATATTCACGAGTATCGAAATAAGATTTGGCCAGCAGGTATTTGTAGGACTCTTGCGTTTCAAGGGCAGCTTCTACTGGGTCGCGCACTTTGAGATAAGGGTTTGTTGCTGGCGAAGGGTCTGAAATATCCATCGGTGACTCGAGGTCAGTGTCTTCGTGATCTAAAGGCCGGAGGGAATCAAGCATTTCAGCGGCCCTGAGTCCATGAACATCATTAGCACGTCAGGCCTGTTCGAATGAAGCTTATTAGTGTTACCATTTTGATGATTGATAAAGGCATCGCTCAGAGCACTTGATTGCAGCATTTTCCAGCTGGTACATGAGCTCTCGGATTCCATCATCCGTAGGTTCTTCCATGACGGGCGTCTTCGTCGCAGGTAGGCGGAGGTGTTCCGGGGGAAACGTTCAAAGACAGTCTTGTAGCGCCGATGGAGCTTTCAGTTTATCAAACCGTTTTGCGACAATTCAATCTCATCCTTATTTTGGAAGAAAGCCCACCACGTAGCGGTTCAATCCTTACTTTCAAATGTCCGGTGTAAATAAATGGTCTTGGCCCTCGTCGCGTTCTTGATACAGGTGAGACAGCAACTCGCGTAACCGGAAAGAACGCGAATAAGAGTATCAAGAGTCCTGGAAAAGCTATGAATGCTTGTAGATTCTAAAACAACGCGAAGATCGTTCAATGGCCTTGAAGAATCCACGTCGTCCTCGGGTTGCGCCTGGAGAAACAGCAACATGAGAGCAAACCGGACAAACCAAACAAACCAAACAAACCAAACAAACCAAACAAACCAAACAAACAGTTCCTCCGCGGGGAAGTGGCCTTGTTGGGAATGTTTTCGTCCTTCTTGTTAGATCATTGACATTTTTTACCACACACTTTGTCATCATGGGCTCTACTACCAAGCGCGCCGACTTCGAGGCTATTTTCCCTTCGCTGGCCCAGGATATCCTTGCCCACGCAAAGCGCTACAACCTCCCTGACAATGCGCTCGAGTGGTTCGAGAAGGCAAGTAAAACCTCGTGATGCCTATTCTTGAGGAAAGAAAGATCATGACTGACACCATCTTATGCGCTCTAGTCTCTTAATGTCAATGTTCCCGGCGGTAAGCTCAATCGTGGCCTCTCGGTCCCTGATACCGGTCTTGCTCTCCTGAAGCAGCCCCTGACCGAGGAGCAATTCGAGCACCTCAGCATCCTGGGTTGGATGACTGAGTTCCTCCAGGCTTTCTTCTTGGTCAGTGACGACATGATGGACTCCTCTATTACCCGCCGTGGCCAGCCCTGCTGGTACCGCCACGAGGGTGTCGGCTTGATCGCTATCAACGACTCCTTCATGCTGGAGGCGGGTATCTACCTCATCCTTAAGCAGCGCTTCCGCTCGCATCCCGCCTACATTGACATCGTCGAGCTCTTCCACGAGACCACGTGGCAGACTGAACTGGGTCAGCTTTGTGACCTCATCACCGCCCCCGAGGACAACGTCAACCTCGACAACTTCTCCATAGAGAAGTACATGTTCATCGTCACCTACAAGACAGCTTACTACAGCTTCTACCTACCTGTCGCTTTGGCTCTTATGTACCTGCAGCTGGCTTCCGAGGAAAACCTCAAGCAGGCCCACGACATCCTCATTCCTCTGGGGCAATACTTCCAGATCCAGGATGACTACCTCGACAACTTCGGTGACCCATCTGTCATTGGCAAGATCGGTACCGATATCCAGGACAACAAGTGCTCTTGGCTCGTTAACCAGGCCATCCAGCGCTGCACTCCCGAGCAGCGTCAGCTCCTGGATGCTTCCTACGGCCGCAAGGACGCTGCCGAAGAGGCCAAGGTCAAGGCCCTTTTCAACGAGCTTCAATTGGAGAAGGTATACAAAGAGTACGAGGAGAAGGTTGTTGGCGAGCTGCACGAGAAGATTGCGGCCGTCGATGAGTCTAAGGGTCTGAAGAAGGAAGTCTTCGAGGCCTTCCTTGGCAAGATTTACAAGCGGACCAAATAGAGGGTCATCCTCCGTTGTGTGTTTAGAAGGATACCCGCCGTTCGACTGGATCGTGACGATTTAATTACATAAAGCCTATGCACAAACCTGAATATGCCCGGCGATGAATCGTCTTTTCTTTCTCGGATATACTTGCATTTATTTTAATTTTATTTTTGGATTCAGTTTATCAGCTTAATAATAAGTTAGAATGGGATAGAAAGCTAACAATGTCAGGTAGCTATCTGTCTACTACTACAAATGAGGAGCATTCAATGCCATCAAACAAATCAGTCCCGAAACCAATCCTGCACAAGGCAAAGTCAAGACCCAGCCACCAAAAATAAAGACAAGCTGCTTCCAATTGACAGCACCAAGATCATAGTTCATGAGAGCGACGCCCATGGCGGACCCGGTCAAGCACTGTGTCGTGGAAACAGGCAAGGCAAGCCTTGAAGCCAACATCACGGTGATGGCTGCTCCAAGCTCAACACTGAATCCACGCGTCGGCGACATCTGCGTGATCTTGTTTCCCAGGGCACGAACTATATGGTACCCGTAAAACCAGAATCCAAGACCGAGCAGCAGACCAGCAATAACCAAGAACCAGATAGGGGTGGGTGCCTTGGTCTCGACATATCCGGCATGGAACGTGCCATACACAGCAGCCCATGGCCCAACGGCATTGGCCACATCATTCGAGCCGTGTGCAATTGACATCATCATCGCCGACACCACCTGGCAGTATGTCCAGAGATGTTCAACGCGGTCGTCATACCGGTGAGCACGTGCGTGGATCGCTCGTAGCTCAGGGGAGTCGTGTGTAATCACATCACGCGTCACGCCCTGAAGGAAAAGCCATTTGATATAACCGAGAGCCTTCTTGGGATTTGTCCAGGATAGGTGTCGGACAGGGTCGATGAACCGCTCCGTTGGTTCGAGGTGCTTTTTCTGTGGCTTAGGTTCCGGTGTAACCTTCTCCTCATCATCCCCTATGTGGGCCGGACTGGACATTGCTGTAATCTCCGGCGTGGGCATGACAGAGTCTGCATTCAATGTGACGTTTTCTTTGTCTGCGTCTTTCTGACCGGCTCGCACTTGCCCGTAAGCATCTTTATAGTAGCTAATCACGGCCTCATCGCCCTTTCCTGGAAAGTATAGCGGTGGGTTTTCCCTCAGCAGAAGCGGGCCGAGAGGGATGTGATAGAACCTGATGCGGGGATCGTTTCGGACGAGACGGCGGATGAAGTATGGCCTGAAGAAGACATATGCAATGATGAGACAGCCGAAAAACACACCCACAATGATGCCGGCTGCCTTGCCAGCACCAAACTCTTCCAATGAGGGTGCCGTGGGGGCTTCGATGACGATGAAGAGGGCGAGGATGGCTCCTGTCAAGGCAAGGTAGACTGGAATCATACGCATGCCGCATTTGAAGGAATCTTGACGTTCAAGGACGCTGTACTTCAGAGTACCGAAGATTATAGCCGAGAAGGCACCTGACACGAGAGGGGCAATACCCCAAGATGCAGCAACCTGGGAGACACTGCCCTTTGTCCAGCCCCAGTTGATAGAAGCCTCGCTCGCAAAACCAACACCAATCAGGGCACCGACGATAGTCTGCGTGGTCGAGACAGGCCAGCCCATCCGAGTGGCGAACATCAACCACGAAGCGCTGCCAACCTCGGCACAGCCCATGGCCAACATGAGCGCACCAGGCTTGTCGTCAAAGCGCTTGATATCGATGATGCCGTTCTTGATTGTATCGGTGACTCGTTTGCCCATGGCTACTGCGCCAATAAACTCGGTGAATATAGCCAGGACACCGGCCGTGGCCATGCTGAGCGTCTGGGCTGCGATTGAAGTGGCATAGGCGTTGGCGACATCGTTGGCACCATTGCCGAAGGCACTGAAAACGAAAGCGATGGTGGTAAGGGCTAGGATCCAGTCATACTTCGCGGTTATTACCGATACCATAGCGACAAGGGGCTGCGGTGGACCACAGAAGAAGAGAAATTTGAAGAACTAGAAAAGGAATTGATTTCAGCAGTCTTCTACTGCCCTGCTTTCATGGTGCCCTTATAAGAGCTGCAAACTCGCCACGACCATTGCCAAGTGCGTGCGTCCTGTGATAAAATTTTCCTGAACTTGGCCTAAACCGTATGGAGCTCCATTCTGATGTCAGTATTAACCCATCATAAAGAGATCACTGACAGTTATTGGCTAAGTACAAGGCGACTTTGTCCGATGGCCGAATAAGAGCGGCAGTTGGCGCCAAGCCTTGGGAGCGGACGCCAAGAGCGGACGAAGGACGTCTTCCGGCGATGATATACTCTCTACAGATCACTTTGGCCAGTCATATTGGGTAAATTTGCACGTTCCTGGGTGCTGAGCTGTGATTGCACGTTTAATAGAGCTTGACGTGAGTTCAGCCTGGGCGCCGAGGACTTGGAAGTCTGGGTTTTTCGGCGGAGGACGCATACGACCCTTGGCATGTGTTGCTAATTTCTGGGCAGCGTGCGGCCATATAGTTTCCGGAAAGACTTTTCACTACGGCACCGTGAGTTAGGATCTTGAACAAGTCCAAAGGAAAGGGTGAATCCGATGTGCTAGAGTACCATGTGGGTACCATGTGGGAGTTTATATATATTTGAATACGCTCCTTTACATTCTATCTTTTGCTAGTTAAAAGCCATTTTCACCTTGGCTCAGTGGGCCTATACGTACTTTCGGCAGAGGCGCACGCAAATAAACCGGCATTAAGGGCGGTCTCGCTTCTTGACAGGAAGTGAATGGGTTTAAGAAGCTTGGCGATTTGGGACTTAGGTATCAGGGAAAATACCATATCTTGCAAGAAGATTACATACACTACCTACTCAAGCTCCGGGTGTAGACTTCATAATTGAATGATTTGACATTCAGAAATTGCCAGCACCTTCTATGACGCAATGCAAATAAGAGCAGGAAGATATGTCGCTAGAAAACAACCAATCAAACACAATTTTTTCACGACGAACCTGCTACACGGCAGTCGGGCCCTCAATATCCCTTATAAGAGTCTGCGCAAATCCCTCAAATCGAGGATAAGACCAGGTATCCCGGTAACGTTCAACGAGCGGTCGATCATCAGGCTCGGCGGGACTATCTTGTGGTTGAGTCTTTGAACTCTCCTCCTCCTCCTCTTCATCACTATCCCCGGCCTCCATCTTTCCTTCAACCAATTCTCCGAATTTCACATCAATAGGCACGCTGCCCATAAATGGAAGGCTTAGTTCCTGGGCCATCACCTGTCCTCCCCCACTCGAGAACAGATTACTAACCTCCCCACAGCAGGGGCAAGCATATCCAGACATATTCTCTATAACCCCAAGCACAGGGATATTAGTCTTAACGCAGAAGTTCGCTTCTTTGCGCACGTCCGAGGTCGCCACAGCCTGTGGCGTCGTAACAAGGACCGCACCAGCAAGTCTAGGCAAGCCTGTTTGCGTAGCCGCCGCCGCGTCTGTGGTGGAGAGTGTGAGCAGCTGCTCTGCTAGCGCAATGTGCTCGTCACTCGTCCCGGGAGGCGTATCGATGAGTAGGTAATCAGTCGGGCCCCAAAAGACATCGGAGAGGAATTGGCGAATCATAGCTGTTTTCTTTGGTCCGCGCCAGATTACGGCGTCGCCGCGATCGCGGAGGAGGAAGCCTAGGGACATGCAGCGGAGGGAACCACGTGGGGGTTGTGTTGAGGGTGCTGAGGCGTCGGGCTCAGCTGCAGATTCAGCTCCGTGAACTGGTACTGGTATCCATCCGCCTGGCGCTTGTGTGATCTTTGCATCTTCGAGTCCGACTAGGCGTGGCATTGAGGGTCCTGTCAGGTCGATGTCAAGGATGCCGACAGATTTGCCTTGTAGCGAGAGCGCGAGGGCGAGTTGAAGCGTGACGGAGGATTTGCCCACACCTCCTTTGCCGGAAAGGATCTAATATCCAATAATATCTTGTTAGTTTTGTCTAAGAAATTGCGCTTGGGTGTCTAGCTCATGGCTTCGAGCAGCTCTCGTTATCGATAAGCTATGAGGGGCATGGGCTTTCTTTTTTTCGCGCCGGCAGGACTGGCAAGGGATTGAAGGCGCACGTACCAGCACGACATTCTTCACCCCAGTGAGAGGCATAGTTGTATATTGTATGCTTAATTTGGAGAAAAGAAATGTTGCAGCAACTGAAAGCTCAATGACGGATTTCAAGGGCGGGGAGGCCGATATTCGGGCGCTTATCAATCGCCTTCTGACTAACCTTCGGTCTACAACATGGACGCGCTAGTATGGAATATGAAAGGTCTGATTTAGCCACTTATTTTGAATTTGGAGGTCATTAAGTGATATTCCATTGATCTACGTAGTAAATCTGAAGGTCCCTCTTCGGTATCAGATATGTCATGTAACGTTCATCCATACAAACCCCACTGCCCAGCTGGTATTCGCTTTTTGAACCACTCTGAAGACGAAAGAGAATATTAGTAGTGCATTTACAGCCACTTCTGGATCACGACGCCTCCACGTTTGAAATCAGGAATGTCGCCGAGAACGGCAGCCCAGTCATTGAGCTCCGTGCTGGGGAAAGTCGTCATCAAGACCCATGCGCGGTTTGGACCATCCGGGGTCGCAGAAGCAACGAACGCATAGACTTCGCCAATGGTAGCGGTCGTGTTGAATCGAGACGTTAAGCGAGTCCCGTCGCCTAGGCGGATTTGTAGGGTAACTGTAGGTTGTGACTCGTCCACGCTGGGCTTCGTTGGCTCCCGAGTAGATGGTCTAGCCGTAGAAGAGGAGGGTGTTGGCGCCTGGCTCCGTACGCCGGGCGTTGGGCTTCCGAGGCGCTGTCCAGAGCCCGAAAAAGGCTTGTACTTGGGCTTGGGCTTGGTGTACTTCTCCTCATGCTGCTTGAGTTCCACGTCAACCTCCTGCCCAGGTTGAACATTCATGATGGAAAGAGGAGCGCGGCCTTGGCGGATACCGTCCAGGATCTCTGCATTGCGGGGGTCGTCTGATCGAAACAGTTCACCGTCATCAACCGAAAATCCATCGGCCCAGAAATGAAGAGTCCGTTGAACACGCTGGGCACGCTGTTGACTAGGCGCCGATGGGTTTTCAATCACCTGACTTGGTGCATCGTCACCACCGAGTGTGCGGGCAGTGCCGGTGAAATGTGATTCCCTTGGCGCAGGGGTGTCTGAAGGAGGAGGCTGCGCCCTGTTGACATTCGAATGTTAGTTGAGTTCAATATTCGTAGCAACTCTAGGAGAACGTACCTGCGGGCCTTTTCGAGGATCTTCTTTTTCAAATCATCGGGGTTCTGCACAGCTAGTCCGGACTTTTCACCACCCGCAAAGAAATCATGTTCGTCGGTGTCATTGTCATCGGAAGAATCACCACCGCCGCCACCTCCCCCCGAAGCAAAGTCTCCCAATGTAGCAAACTTCTTGGGCGCAGCGCTTCGGGCGGATGATGAGGACCCAGCTGCGGCAGAGGATGAAGCTGGTACGGCACTTCCGCTGAGAGTTCTACCCCCCGCGGAAGCTCCAGAGCTACCCTCTGTGCCTAGTGGTCGCGCACCACCAGCACCGGTATCTTGCGAAGCTTCGTCCTGCTCCGCGAAGAATTCCGTAACAGCAGCTTCGATGTCCCAACCATTGGCAACAAGATATTCCTGAGCCTAGACAATCACGCACTCAAAATCAGCGACTAAGTTATGTATAGACACAGCAAGAAGCTTACCTCTGAAGCCTCAGTTCCAGTCATAGCACAGAATTGAGACACAGCCTCATCGTGCTCCGCGGGATTGCCCTCCATGGTTGAGCTTCGTTAGCGGGTTACGGTGATCGAAGCTGAAAGAGGAGATTGGGAGAGTAATCAAGAGCAGTTCTGATAGCGACAATAGGTGCTTCGTCTCAGGTGGACGGAAGGAAAAAAACAATGTCAGTGTCAATGGAGCTGAGTTAGGTGACAGACCCAAACAACGCTGGCGGGCTTACAGCTGATCGAATGTTAGAATGGGACCGCTAATTTAGCGTGAAGGAAAATATATTAATCCGTGTTAATCCGCGTTTCGGCCATCTATCTGCTCAGAGGGGTCTTAGCGAATGTCGAGATCTCTCTTTACACTAGGATGTCTTCATAGCTTATAATAGACGTTCATAAAGACCCCGTGATCATTATTTACAGTATAATCTTTACCACTAAATCCTATCTTCTTCTGTACTAGGGTATTATAACCCCTAAAAAAATCCCGACATTCGCTGATGTCTAACGTTCACTGAGCTCTCGGAACTCGGATTAATACATGTTCCTCTGGGCCAAGAGGCGCTAAAAATTAGCGGTCCCATTCTAACATTCGACCAGCTGTCGGTCGCAACGCTGGCAGCTGGCCGGTACGTCACTTCTCTCAATTGGTCAGCCGGGATATAGATATTCCGTCCCGTCTATGGCGCCTCAGGCCGCCACATCTTTTGTCGGATGTCGACACATGAACTAGCGATATTAATAAAATGAAAGCGAAGGAACTTGGACGCATCTTAAACCGTTCGACTTGTCGTGCAATTTCCACTCATTTAGTGTGAAAAATCATTCGTTGACCTTGTACCGGCCTGGTCTCCTTGGAGATGATAGGGCCTGAACTAGCTTCAAGGGATCGATCATCATGATGTTATAGATGGTTTTCTCACCCTAGTGAACATCAGACAATGGCTGCTGTCATCAATTTTCAAGCTTGCTCTTATGACCATCTACTGCATTTCTAATATCATACACAGACTACTTACAATTTGCAAGTTTTCTTTTGGCAAAATATCACAATTTGCACAAGCAAAAACAAGAAATGAGTATTGACTAAAGACAAAGGAAGATCGATCAGCAAACTACATACCAAGAGGAACCAAAATGGTATGTATCAAAGGGGTCAGATCGTTAAAACAAGTTCCATTTCCTTGTACTCACTCGCCAACGCTTTCACGAAGATTCAATATAAAGAACCCGAGGCATAGGTCTGCCAAAGTAAGTGTCTTGCATGCTGCGAAGGCATACTTCTTGGGCTACCTCGAACTCTGAACGCTTTCTTTGATATGCCCCAATTGACCAAGTGGAAATGACAGCAACAACTGTTTCAATGCTACTATGTACATCTATTTCTCTTTGTATAGTCCCTCGACCCCTGACGCGAAGACCCGAAAATATTTGAGCTATAAGCAAGACACTTATAGATGGCAGGAGTGACTTTCCCTTGAAGTACGTTTTATAGACTTGTAATGATACGAGAGGTTCACAAATAGCTGGTTGGACCCGGACCTACGCATTCATCAGCGGCCATTGGTCTGGATGGAATACCCCCACCCGATGGATACTTTATTCGCACTGTATATCCCCAACGATTCTCGTTTGATCAATCCTGATTTGTTCTTAGTATAAGATTGCTATTCGTATCCCTGATAGCAGGTGGTATGAGACTTCCTATATGACACTGGGGCAAGCATGATGTCAGGATATGGGGTGATCCTCTAAATATGATGAGAACATCGACCGTAGAACCCACAGTCATGGGGCTACATTTGTCAAGTACGGCCGACGGTAGCATTATGACTGTTCTAGTGGTTGAAATTGAAGTTACTATACTGGATAATATGCGAATGCGGATGACAAGATTGGTCAGAGAGCAATATGAGGTATATCGAGGTTGGTGTGGCAAAGGAGATCACAGATCGGATGGCCCATGGCTACGGCACATGCTATATACAGCGTCAGCTCCGCGCGACAATGACACGATGTGGATTGCAAATACCTACCCTGAAATCATCAACGCCGTACCTGACACAGGGTATTCTCGAAGGCTTCTGGCTCTGGCTATTGGAACAATCCGCCGGGAGCCAGCTGGGCGGGCCTCTATGATATCTCTTGGAAATCCTGGAGCTGATACAGAACCTCGACTCGTCTTACATCGAAAGATGCCCCGGGCGGCACTATAGGACAAAAGGTTCTTGTTATTTCAGCGTTCTCTCATACTCTCATACTCATTTGTTATTTTTTAAAAATTTCAACTAGATCCAAGAAGGAGAATGGCGTGTTATTATTCACTTTTATAATCGTCGGGATAACCCGCTTTTGCATCCTCGAAGATCGTCAACACAGCAGAACTAAAGGTGGGTTGGACGCTTGGCACGATTAGCCAAGCATTCTAGAACACCCTAACAGACCAATAATACATTGGAGAATAAGCGTGTGGTATGGTCGAAATACTTCAGATCGCCTAGGGGGTTCTCCTTAAGTGATGGTTTTACTAAAGAGCCTGCAAATCCTCTGGGAAGGGCTACATAGTATGGGGTACCCCGTATAATAAATCGATATCCTCGCACCGTTAAGGAGTCATCTCACAGGATATTCACAACAGACCAATCATATATGGAGGAAGTCTCCCCGCGTATATACAGGACCCATAATAAAGTATAGTCTGCCGATCGCATTAAAGACGAGTTCAATATAGTTTATTAGACGGGACAATGTGCCGTTCGTTTCCCACAGTAGAAAAATGCTGTCTCTTTCTGTGCTTTTTCGAAGCAAATAATCAGCAGCAAACTGCAGAGTACGTTGAACAGCAAGTAACGTTTAAATATTGAGATACTGGTGCAAGCACTTTTCGAAATACTATCTAAATCATCTAAATCATCTAAATCGGCACTAGAGACTGTACCTAGGACAAGTACGCTTTACCAAACGTGCTAATATTGAAGTCATGGTGTCATGCTAACTACATATGCAGTCTATACCCGCTGATACTGTCATTGTTTTCTAGGATACATCCCGACATGTACACTACAGCATACTCCGTAGTCGAATCCATACTCTTGGTTAGGGCAAACCCTGTTGGCGCAGTGGTCTAATCCATTTAGGGGAAGTCTCCCTTGGCACTCCTTAATATGAATGCGATTTAGTTTCGTATCGCCATAGTTAAAAAAACATGGCATTCTAAGGTTTGGACTGCATCAGACTGGAGTGCATAGCCACCACTTTGGGGCTTTTTTAACTTTTTCCCAGTGGAAAATTGCCCGTCTACGTGGTTTTCGAGGGCATTGTAACGACATAATTATCCAATAAGCACTTCAAGTCATAATATTACACATCGAATTGTTCTTTTCACAATAAATGGCCTGGGATTTCCTAGTCTGTGTCGATCGAGACCATGAAATGGAACAGTCTCAAGCATCGATGCGAGTTACAAGACGACATAGCCATCAAAAGCAATCATTCTTCTTAAGCAAGTTCTAGAAGCAATAAACAATAGATATCCACTGCCAACTTCCTACGCCCTTTACAAATTATAACGAGACTGCTGGGAAGGTTTCAAGGGCATACCATACTGACGTAGGGCTTGATTCCCCATTTGGACGCCCCACATCACGTGCCGTTGTAGCATGGTCCCGGCGCTTAATCCCAGGTCCCTTGAACAAATCGTGTGCAATTTCAAATCGAGCCCTCATTGCCTAACATGCTGCTCTGGTCTAACTGATGAACTTATGGAACTGTACCTGCCTAATGTATTGAACTCACTTTCCAACTCGCAAACCGCTTCTGATCCTCCACCCCCATGCTGCCAATGACCGGATGAAACACCGCTGTAAAGGCCGACAACGACAACGACAACTTCACAAGATCGACTGATATATTGTACCGAAGTCTTTTTTTTTTGAGCCAGAATGACGTCTCCTTACCCAACATCAAATTCATTCTCGCCCTCCGTTGCGTCCGACATGGCTGCTGCGTCCAACCGAGGGGTCTCCGATTTGCCGCAGTCTCAGGTAGACGCTATCATCCGCACGAAGCGCAAGGCTCGCGAGCCTAAAGCCTGCTACCCCTGCCATGCGCGCAAGGTTAAATGCGATCGCAATCTGCCGTGTGACGGGTGCGTTAAGCGCGACCATGCAGACCTTTGCTCCTACGAACGCCCTTCCAAGAAGCGATCGCAAGCCTTTCATGATAGCGCTGTCCCTAGTGGGTCAACGGCACCCGTGCATGAATATTCAGCATCATATGCGTTCGATGAAACCCCAGCGGAAGTGAAACACGAGCCAACCTTAAGCCGACCGAGTGTCCCTGCCACAGGTGGTGGCCGTATATCAATCGCCCGCGAGGAATGGGATAATGTGCGCAATAGGTTGCAGGAAATGGAGTCTACTATTTCCTCCCTTCGAGTCGGGTTAGAGAGGGCGGAAGACGGCCTCCCAGCCTCCATGGAAACCGGAAGCGTGCATAGTGGCGATGCGAGTTCCCGTTCCAAGTGTGCCTCACCGGAACGCGAGGGCATCCATGCTGCCAATACTCTTGGCAAAGGCACTGTTCATTTGGGATCTCGCTCTGTTATGGCTTATATCTTGAACAATCAGTCTGGGTCTGATCAACTTCAGGCACTTTTGGAAGGAGGAATACTGCCCAAGCTTGGTTTGGACAATGAATCTGCGACATATCCATTTGTTGATCTATGGTCCTCCGATATGTCAACATTCGATATTACCGCCGTCTGCAGCGCCCTTCCCACTGATCAACAGTGCAGAGAGTGAGTAGCCTTCTTAAATCGAACCCCTTGATTGAGATTGGTTGGGCTAACTTTGCTTTCTTGTAGGTTATTCTACTACTACAAAGATATTTCAGGAGCCATATATCCTGTTTTAGAGGACATCTTTGAGTTTGAGAACACACTCGAGCTCCTGCTGGGAACAAGAGCTTCCATGGGCGGCGAGTACCTAGCCGATGCAGACCAAGCACAGAAGCCTTTCGGGGTAAGCATTGCGTACCTGGGACTACTGTTCGCTATCCTTGCCTCTGGGTGCCAGTCATCTGACTATGGGAGCAAGGAAAGGGAATTAACCTCTCAGGTTTATGGTATGCGACCTACACCGAAATTCTTATTGGAGTCGTTGGCTAACACTTTAAATAGTGTGCTGCTCTTACCAGTGCCTCCGCATGACAAATTTCCTCTCCCAACCCACCATTCAGGCAATTCAAACTCTCCTAGTGATAGGAAACGTTTTGTCATACAACATGAATCCTGGAATTTCTTATGTCTTGCTCGGCATGACACTTCGCATGGGCTTGGCGCTCGGTCTCCATGTGGAGTCGAGTCGCTTCTCGTCAGCTGAACGATACCGCCGACGACATGTTTGGTAAGATAATTTTTCGTTCGTAGCCCGAAAGTATGTGGCCCTGACATAAATAGGTGGTCCATGGCATGGCAAGACAGCCATTTTTCGCTCTCCTACGACCGGCCTTCCACCACTGCAGTGAGCCAGCCAGATATTGCTTATAGGGATGGCTCCAAACCTGGCGATTTATCCTATTTCGAAAGTCTCTCTCGTGTCATTTCTCTTGCACTAGAGGTTGTCCGCATTCGCATGTTGAGCCCGCACTCGCAGATAAGCTTGGAAAGCATACAAACATATAAGGACCGCATCCAGAAGATCATGGTAGAGGCAAAGCCATACCTGCGAGAGGCAATGGACTGTTCCACGCCTACGCAGCACCTGGAGCGCGTTGTGTTAAAATTGCATGCTTCTTATTTCGCCTCTGAGCTCTGCCGGCCAGCGCTCAAACCCATGGCTGACTTGAGTCACGCCAACGCAGCCAGCATGCGCGAAAAGTGCATTATGAATCTGATGACGACCGTTGAAGCTTACATCGAAATGCACAACATCAGCTCCCACGCAGCTCGTTCCTGGATCTTATTGCAGCGGGCGATTAGTTCCGCATTCCTGCTTGCTGTCATCGATGAGGCGAAAGCGGACCCGAATGTGTGGAATCTTCTCTACTCACTCGAGGGCATCATCGCCCAAAGAGCAAGCACGGAACGTGCCTATGATTCCAACGAGGCCCAAACTGTGGCCAGTATGACATCGCCGCCCCAAGCACTCGGGACTTACGACCCAATCACGGGCGTCAGGAACCTCACAGGTCCCATCCCGGTGGATCCAAATTCTCCGGTTGGGATACCCCCCGATCCACAAACGCAATGGGCCAAGTCGCTAGCGAAAACACATCGTGCTTTGCAAAAACTCCTTGCCGCACTTGGGAATCCATCTACGCGTTCAATGGGACGCAATGGTACGCCCGTTTACTCCAATAATCCTAACCCCAACCCGACTTCCGCTTCCATGGGGGCATATGGTCCTGGGCAGGCGAACATGACTCCCAGCGTTGGTTCCCTTCCGCCCCCTACGCCAGAAAGCTCTGCTAGCGGTGAATGGACAATGCCCAACATACTGGATCGCGCAGCGGAGTATATTCATCCACCCCTGTGGGGCTAGTGATTGGAGGCGAAAAGCGTTTAGTTTTCAATTGTTTTTCTTCAGCGCGGCGCCGGAGTCTCTTTTCGGTTCAACTCATGATTGTCGTTTTTTTGCAAACTTGTTTCATTCAATTTGTTGCAGGGGAGGCTGTTCTTACGAGTTGAGGGTTTCTGCAGTGTGATATCCGTCGTTGAACATATAGTATGTGTATAATCTCTCTTACAGAATCTTAAATCGCGATACTTCGGATCTAATACGCTTTCTGTAGACCGAGGATTATGCAAAGACAGAGTCTTTCCCTTTCCATAAGGCTCGGAGTAGAATTGCTTCCTTCTCTGGTTAGTTTCCGTCAGCGAAAAGTAGTCAATCGCTACAGCGATATTCAAGAATGAGCTTGTAATAAAAGGCCCTCTTTTTCTTCTCTTCTCTACTCCAGATTTACATTTCACTCCACCATTCTCCATTTAGCGAGGAGCTGTACGGAGTAGAGTGAGCCCACATCCCCAGGGTAATTAATCATGGCTAATTTCACTCCTAAGTTGATTAGTTAAATCGGGACTATTCGTAACTACAGAGGAGACTATGAAAATATTGTCATTATTTCATTGAATTCGTCGAGAAGAGACCTTTGTGCCGAGAATATCGTTCAATGGTCTCCCCCATAGCAGATGCATTGAAAATTTCGCATATTCTCCAATGCGCATCGAGAATTCTCCGGGTTAACAAGGCAGTATTCTTGATCGTACCTAATTAGGAAGGCGGTACTGGAAATACAGGCAGGAGAGTGTGATATTTCTGTCCAAATGTATCAATCCCCTACAACAATAGTTATGGTTATGACTTCTGAATCAATTGGGTTTTATATTATTTCTGTTCACTTTTTGTTTACTCCAATAGTAGTTATAAGTCCAGGAAAGTTCAATGATGGCGATGAACTCTCCCTGAAGTCGTTGCGTCGCGCAGGGTGCGGATAATTTGCGGATATCCGCAGTGACGATGACGATAAGACCTGAGTATCCGCAAACCGCAATTTGCCGATGACGATTGTCAGACCGGAGTCTGACCCAGAGGTATCCTAGAAACGTTTACTCGATTTAGTGGAGATGGAATCTGATAGAAACACCACTAGAATCTGATGGAAATTACTAGGTTGCTGATGCACGAAAATGGATGCTTCCCTTTTTTATGAATGTTCCTTCCTCCTAATAATACGATAATGAAACATTATCGTTATCGTACTATATGCCGCAGCCTAGGCTCAATATGACGGCTGATTTTGTTTCCGCCGAGTATCTTCCACTATATGCGATTGCATAGAGCCAGGAGGTGAGATTGCAGAAACTCTTGAACGGCGATAGAAGGAGACTGAGGAGGCGTTGGATGACTCGTGCAATTTGACTGGGATCTAGGGATGAAGCCCGAATCATCCAACCAGGGCTTTCTCTTGAATTTACAGCGAACGAGGACGGAACTATATTCAAAGTCTTCGGCCAAGGGCATCTGCCGCTCGCGCCAGAACCTCGGAAACAGTTGAACGTTGCCCGTTGTATGACTGGGGATGTAGCGATTCTTCCTCCGGCTGGGATGAAGACACTACCATCAACTGCCTATGAAGGTTTAGTGTGTAAAACAATGTTCCCCTCCTCTTCTTCCGCAAGCTTCGTATACGCCCGTCTTACATAGAACACAAAAGGCTGCTTTGATGCTGTAAATCATAGATTGGAAGATAGTCCAAATACCTAAAACTTCAATATGACATCGTTAAAGGACAATGTCAATTATGTACCCATCCCGTTAAACTCTGGAAAGGGCCTCAGAAGTAACAAAAAGCAAACTCAATGATCAATCAAGAAGAACGTATGAAAAACAGGTAAGACAGTAAGTGCCAATATTTCGACTTGCAGAGAAATAAATCGGGATATTGATGCCATAAGACCTAATCAGCTCCAAAAAGGCTCCTGCAAAATCTTGACCATGCAATGTTTTTTCTCTTGTCTTCTTCCTTCTTCCAATTTAACTTGTTCAGCCTGTACGGGGTGATAGTGGCGGTAACTTCACACCCTAGGTGAGCATCCTATGCACCGAGGGTGTGAGTCCCACTCATCCTGGGTGAGCTTACTTATTCTAGGTGGCGTTAGCATATTAAATTTATATAGAGATTTCTAATTACGGATTTCTATATCGATTCTAATATAAGTTGTGGCACCTATATACATCTATCACGGGTAGGAGGTTACTTATTGAACGACCTTAAGAAGATTTGTTAAAGCTTAATATACTTCGAGCCGGCTTTTAAAGCCATTTTTCTAGAGGGAAGACTCGGTAATGAATACGGACGAAGCAATTGGCTAGCTAATAGAATTTTGTACACCAAAATTTATCCCGAAAGTAGAGCATTACTGTTATTAGGCGAGTTTCGACTATAAGGGAGCTAGTACTACTCTTGAACCCTAATTATAACAAGATGTTTAGTTAGAACTTTCTCTATCTGCTAAACAATCCCTATAAAATAATCGAGTTCCGACGCGGAGCGGCGAGTACTTTAGTGTAAGACGTCTTTATTTATATAGAGATTGCGATGTCCTTTCTCGAAGCCTAGATCCGACTAGGAGATGTGGAAAGTCTTAAGAGTGTGCCCTGCCCGCCACTATTGGCGGTCTTTAGTGATTCATCCAAGCTGCGAAGCTGCCAGACGGAATTACTAGATTATTTGACTCCCGGTATCTTAAGTTATTCTTCGTAGGGAAGAATCAAAGTGCATTCCGTGAGCCAAAACCGCTTGGTAATCTTTCACCAATTTTTCACATCCAGGCTAATAAGGTTTCATCGCTGCTTCAAGGGGAAAGGCATATTGAATGATTGATTGACTAAATGTGTGTGGCTTGAGTACGGCTGAGCGGACGGGAAGCCCTATTTTCCACACCCTATGGTCGTATGTGTTAGGTCAGTCACGTGTTAGATATCATTATAGAATGAAATCAATTTAGGGAATTGGCGAGAAGAAATTTAAGCAGGTGGGGTCCACGATTACGGAGTACTCTAAACTATTATGTGATTTAATAATGAATAGGATTGAGGACCAACCGCTCTCTTTTTAGCTGCAAGAATGCACGACCAAGTAGTATAAGTGGGTTCATGCGGGGCGGCCACAATTATACGACTCACTCAGCTCCAATCCCAGTCGACTGGGGTACAGGCCCAAGCTCCAAATCTTCATAACCGCTAGTGTTCCTCCGTGGCTCCCTAGCGACAACATATGATGTCCCAAAGGGTACCCCAAATGCCGCCCATGAACAGCGCGGTGCCCAAGCCCATCCGCTGTGGTCTAGGAATTCCCCAGCATGAGACGGAACGTGATACCATCGAATCCCAAACCAGGCGAAGAAAATCCCAATAAGACTTCCGCCCATAATGTCCCAGCCAGCGTGCATATAATCTGCATACCTAGTCGCGCAGATGTAGAGGGCTACGCCTATAGGAGATAGAACGAGTAGAAGAAGGTATAGGGGCGGAGCGGTTGCGGACGAGCGAGTGGGGATGGGGTCGTGTGTAGTCTGCGCGAGGCTGTTATTTCGATCCCGCTGTCCTATTTGGGGAGTGAGACGAATTGGCATAGGAAAGCGAACGGCAAACTTGATGCTGAGCCAGAGGGTGAGGTAGAGAAGCCCGGCCCACGAGAACGATGAGTGGCCGGATGGAAAGGCGGCGAACCCATCCTTCACAATACTAGCATCGGTGTTTTGACATATGCTGCTGGTGACCATAATAGGGGCTGATGCCTGCTTGAGACCAAGGCCCCCAACAATGTAGGCGGCAACGTTTGAGAGATCAGGGTCGCAGCGGGCAAGGAAGTCCGGTCGGGGCTTCCCTACGACATCCTTTAGGCCAGATGTCACGAAGAAGGCACCTGCTAAACTAAGGCCAAGGCCTAGCCATCCTGCATGCCATTCCCATAGTCGACGTCTCCACACGCTCCCTCCGTCACCATGGCTCGATGTTGTGATGGCCGATGAAGGGATCAGGAGAGATAGTGCTAGGATTGTGATGGCAGGCGCACCGCAAGCGACGATTGCAACGACGGTGATGCTGACAGTATCGGAAAGGAGGGGATATGATATTTGGGGATCTTCGAGAGAGAACGCATGGCGATAACCCGTGATCTTGTACAACACACCACCTACAGCGGCAACAAGGCTTCATATTTCGATTAGTAAGGGACGGAGGAGTCCTATGGGAATAATCGAACGAACATGATGATGGCCCAATCGAGCACGTAAGAAAATATCAACTGAATAGAGGATCTCTCTCCTGAAAGGAGCCTACTATCCAGATTTCCTGGATTATATGCCATGGGTAGAGATTTGAGCGGGTAGTAAAAGTCACGAGAGCAAAAGGCGAGGTAGGAAAAGAACACGATATGAATTAGCTTGAAGAACTATTGGCTGGATTACTGGCGCCTTTGACATTTACAAATAGACCTGCTAGTTTCAGATCCAATCTAGGCCGCGGTTTGCGGAAATAAAGAAAGCCGAGGGCATTCCTTTGGGAGCGTACAGCCCAGGCCCCACTTAGGGCATACAGGTCCATTTGCGATGGACCTTCTAATACCGGGAACATTACCATATATCGTAGATACTGTAGAAGCACGTGCGCAGTTTCCGGTCCATAAAAGTTGGTAACTGGACTGACTTGGACGACAGGATTGTTACTATTTACATGCATCATGCTCTGTGCGTTGATCCAAGTCTGTTTTTGTTACTTTCCATTCCACGGAGTTGCCTTTCAAACGGCATGCAATGAGTTATAATGCAACCGAATTCTTCTTGAGGGGAGCTAGGCCACTAGTTAGTAGCGTACCCGATGATGCTAACAAGAAAATAACCAAATAAGCCTGGTTCATAGCTTCCGTACCCGCCACTGGGGACGAATTAATCACTCTGAATGGCTTTGCAACCCTCCATTCTGAGTTGCCTCCGAAGGCATCAAAATGGCAATCCTGCTGCCACTTTGAATTGAGTTTCTGGATACCGGGTTGAAAGGCCGCTGTCAATCCAGCCAGCCATTCACTTGTCTGTGCGCACGGTACTCTTCTTCCAGGTCGTGGATATGTACTTTCAATAGATAGCGCGGAAATACAATTAGTAATACGATAACCATGGCAATGCGGATTCTATAGTTCATGGTCATGATAGAAGCGGTTGGTGATGTGAAGGCTTTCGGGTACACTTTCATTGATAAATATGTCGACAGATAAAAACGAACGATATATGGTGGTGGTGTTGCCCAATCAGAATCCAGACAATACCAGGGCTCTGTATCCAGATAACTCAATGTTGCCAACTTCCGACTTCCAATCCAAATTTACAACAATTCATTCTTGGCACGAAAGCTTGGTTTGTACCGTACATTGTATGTGTTCCATCACCGGTCAAGCAATTCCACAAAAGCAGGTAGACATAAAAGATATCGGATTTAATCTTGCAGCGAATATACAACAATAACAAACCTCTAATCAAATCCCATAGGGCCAATGGGAGGGTTAAATGAAGGCACGTGATACTGACTGTCGATCTATAGACGAGGGAATAGGCGTGGCAGTTTCTTTGGGAATAACCTTATCATCGCTATCATTCCCTGCAAAGTACTCCGTGTACGGAGTACACATGACCATATTGTCGAGAGATCCCACTATGAGGCTTAGCGGTAAACAAAAAGAATAAGAGAAGAACATAGTGCATGGACCATGTCTCCACACCGCACTGGCCCAAATGGGTTAAGGGGGTTAATTTTAATTGATGACCCTGCAGGTAACCCCAAATAGAACAGAAGAATGTCACTCGCGCCACGCTATTCGTCACAGGTAATAATATCCATCTGCCTGGCGCTCTCGGCAACTCTCGCCCCGTCAGGGTTCAGCCTAGGCAAACCCAGAATCTCCACCTAGTAGCCGATAAACCCTTTGACAGAAAATCGTGGTACGGCGAGTGTATTGGTCACATTCAATGGCAGTAAAATCTCTAACTAAAATCAACAGGGTCCGAAATTGACAATCTGCCCAGGTGGTACGACACGATTAGTAAGCAAAATGCAGATAACTACAACATACAAGTCACAAGCGGTCTGTAAAAAGACAGGTAAAGTAAGGTACCAATCGTGATTCTTGACAACCTGGTTTCTATGGCGCCGGTATGGAGTCAAATAATTCTGCTGCCTAACCAAGTGCCGTGGGAGATCTGTATTGGTTAGAAGAGGGCGCATTTGGATTGCCAGAAACGGCACATTGCAAGTGAGCACGGCCCAATTGTTTGGTTTATCTTTTTTATCTATTACCAACTTGCTTTGAAACACGGATCGGATTTCTATCATGGATATGCTTCTGGTGGCACGAGCTGGTATTGTTTGTTAAGAAGAAGCCTGCAGCTGATACGTAACCCGCCAGACGGAGGTGAGAACCGTATCGCACGCTGGCTTTGCGACAAGGGGTGAGCGTGGAACATCAGCGAGGGAGAAGCGACACGATCTCAATGAAGATTTAGAGAGTCTGAGGGGGCCGTGAAAATGGGGAGACGCGTACTTGTCTAGATCAGACTCCTGAGGCAGTAGGCGAGGTATCCCAGTCTGTTGAACGTCTTATCTTGGGATCAGAGCACTGGCGCATGGGCTAGCGAAGCAGGCTAGCTTTTTGTTTTTCGTTGCTTGTTCCAGTCATATTCCATACTGCGGCCGATTTTTCGGTTTGATCCCGCTTGCTTCGGGGTCAATGAAACGTTATATATTGCACAGGCGAGCGGCGCAGTCCGAAACACGTAGGAAATGCAATATAAACTGAAAAGCAGTAAGCTAGCAGGAAAACTCTGTATAGCCTACCGTTGTTGAAATATCAAGTTGTGATTTATCTCATTTAGTGTTTCGGACTCTGCCGCTCGCATGTGAAATACGGTAGATTATGCGTCTGGGTGTTCTCTGAAAGTTCTTCCTAGCCCCTTTCTGTATTCCAAGTGTAGATCAACGATCTGCATGTACTGAGTAGACTGGACGGAGCTAGACCAGTACAGTATCAGCCGTTTCCAAAATTCCCAGACACTACGGAGTACTTCTTTCCCAAGCACGGAATAAATCCGCACCTTATCCGAGAAACCATCGATACTCCATCGATAGCAAAGTTTCGTACGGGAAATTTAGGTGCCTAGCACCGCCTGGGTGGGTGATGCAGGGACACAGACCCAAAAGAAGAACAAGCAGCGACTAAAAAAGCTTGGCCTAGTAGCCAATCAGCTAATAATCTTCGCGGTAGCTTTTCATCCTGCTTCCCACTTTTCGAGTGTTCTGATAGTCCACAATCAATTCGGGCGTCGTAAGCTCTTCATCTACCAGCAATGGAGTTCGGCGAGGACTCGGCAACACGGCCTCTGGACGGATTAACTCTCCCTTGTGTGGATCGCGGCCAGGTGAAGCCGGACTTCGGTTCCCATAGATCTATTGTTGCAGTGAATTTTCATTATGTGGTACTTATTTTCCTATCTCTCAGCGGTACTTGAGAATCTGCCCCTGTTGGTGGGAGCAAGGATCTTTTTCTAGCGCTATTTTCTGGTTATCAGTCCTTTCCCTCATTAGGCTTTGCGTTGCCAAATGTGCCCCGACTTCTCAAGCTCAAGAGCTCTATTCAAAATGTTTCAATGGATCACACGTTGTGTGCCAGGTTTAAGCATCCTAACGTTACTTGGAGTCTCATTCGCGACGTTCATTGATCTTTATTACTCTGTGCTGTACCAAGATCTCGTTCGTGATCATGGCCAGCTCCCAGGTGAACATGCTTCGGATGGCAGACCAACCACACTGCCATTGACTCAGAAGATTTTTATTGGCATGTCGTTGTTTGTACACCTGAATGCCTTCTACTTCGCTATCCGCCTATTCTTCGCTCTACTCAAAACACTGAGAGAGTCAAAAAAGGCGTTGCAGCGCCGCCACTCCACTACGCCAAAGTCAGTCGATACGGAAGATGCTTTCGAAGCAGAGTTGGCAGGCAATGTTCCGTTGAGTGTTCTTGGGGGGACTCAGTTTGAGGCAGAGCCGGACTATCTTGTCAACAACCAGGAGGTCGTTCACGCAATCATCTTACCCAATTATGAAGAAAATTTTGATACCTTATGGACCACGCTCCATGTTCTAGCCAGTCACCCTAGAGCTGCCAGTCAGTATGAGGTGAGTTCCGTTCTAGTCGTTCATTTCTTCATGAAGGAGCTATATTGACCGATGATTGTTCCAAACTAGATCTACCTTGCAATGGAACAAAAGGAGCTCGAGGCCCCTGCAAAAGCGGTCAGTCTAGTTTCAACTTTTGAAACCAGATTTTCTCACATTGAAGCCACGTTCCATCCGTCTGGAGTACCAGGCGAGATAGCCGGGAAGAGTTCCAACGTCGCATACGCCGCTCAACGTATCATCAATTCACACAGAAGAGACGACAGGGAGGATTTGACCAGTAAATTAATCACTGTTATTGATGGTGTGTCGAGATATATCCATCTCCTATTAAGACTTCACCATGCTGATAACCCTTACGGGTAGCCGATACCCATCTATTGCAGGATTACTTCAATGAGATCCAACGACTTCACTTCGACGATCTTGCCAGCCCCGAACTATCCTTCTATACCTGTCCCATCATCTTCGATCGAAACTCATCCGAAACACCGATTCTAGTCCGCTGTGCAGATATGATGTGGGCATTCGCAGGTGTCTCAGCCATGTACCCTGGATCCCCGATCTCCATTCCCACCTCCGTATATACCCTTCCTCTCAGCATGGCAGAACGAGTTGGGGGATGGGACAGTGATGCTGGGGCAATTGGTGAAGACATGCATATGCTTCTCAAGTGCTACTTTGCCATGGATGGCAACATCACCACACGTGTTGTCGCAAGCCCCGCGAGCCAATGTAATATATCCAGCAATGAGCATCGTGGCTGGCGCCGGAACATGGATATTTTGGCAGCTCGCTATCGTCAAGCTTTGCGCCATATGTGGGGTGCACTGGATACGGGATTTTTCATTCGGCAGAGTGCTGCCAACCTGTCGCGTCCCAGCTGGCGAATCCTTTTCAGCGGGACGCAATGGGCCCTTGCACATCTTCTCTTCGAAGCGCACTTCCTTCCATGTCATTTGATAATTACGTTGGCTATATCATCTATTTATTCCGCTTTCATTTCTCCGGAGTCTATGCATCCGGATTTGGAGTGGGCATTTCAATTCACCGGCGTTCTGCGGGTTTGTTCCTTCATTATGATGAACATCTGCATGATAGTCTATGGGCATTGGCATAATTTCTGCGTCAATACCCGTCTTACGGACATGATGGATGCCGGTGTCCCTGATGCGGGCTTTTCATTCCGAAATGAGTGGAATGGCGGTACTCTTCTCGAGCGTATCCTTTTTCCCGTGGCGGGAACATTGTTCGGGCCTGTCCCGGCCATCCAAGCTGTCTTTTCTCATTTCTGGACTGATAGATTGGTATATAAAGTAAGCCAAAAGCCAAGCTTCGGTCCAAGCTCTGTCTAAAAGATATATCTTCTCTTGCAGGCTGAGACTTGGGTTTCCATGTGGCGATGAGAAATGGTCTTCAGTTCACTCCAGTTCTGGCTTTTGGTCTGGTATTACACTCATTTTAAGATAGTGTGCACAGGAATTTTATAGATTTTCTTTCTGTATCTCTACTGATTGAATACAATTTCTTGGGTTGCTGCTCAAGTCAGTAGATAGCCTCGTCTCTTCCTCTCTTCTTCTCCTATCTGTCCGCGATCATCGTACAGAATATCACCCACAGTTTCTCTTTGCATCTAAATTCTGTAGATCTAGACATGTGCACTTTTTCATGCCCGTGATTGCTCCCCTGGGTCTTTGGCGCTGATTGAACTGATTCATCTAACCTTCCAATGAGCAGGTCTTGTTTTCAATACGAAATCGACCTCGTCATTCAAGCCCACACTCACTTCTACGAGCGCAACGGGCCCTTGGACAATGAAGTCATTGATCCTGCAGGTTTGAATAATCCCAAATCCCCTTGGTATATTACTAGCGCCGCCCCTGGCCACTATGACGGATTGGACAGCTTTGATACCCCCTTGAAGCCTTATGCTGTGTATGGAGAGGATACTGTCTACGAATGGAGCAAGATCACCTTCCACAACTGCACTCATATGACTCATGAATTTGTGGGGACATACGGATTAGGGCGTTCAGCCTCGAATTAGATATTCTCATGTGTGGACCAGCACTTTCGGAATGCGTTTGTGAATTGAAATAAATTTGCCGCTTGCGAGTTGCAAAATATGAACCCATTAGTACGCCATGGATAGATGTAAACAATTATGTTCAAGATTAATTAATACCCTTGTAGGCTAGACTATATGCCGACCCCGAAGGAGGCGTTTTACCTGTTCCCCGGCCGATGACATGGGCTGAGTGAGTTAACCGCAGCCGGTAACAGTGATACCAGTCTCTTCTTGTTCAAACACCCAGTGAGACTACGCCAAGAAGACAAACGAGAGGAAATGCCTAGATTGCTGCAACCAGCACTTTGCTATGGCAACGTAAGAGAAAAAAGGCACAATGGACTTGGCCGCGTGGCAGGATTGGATTTTCTGAATCGCCATTGCTTGGAAATCCAGAATTCTTTTTTTCTGTTTTCCTTTATAGGCAGGGGAGCAATTGTCTGTCTCCATACACCTACCTGAATAGGCAATAGACTAGGTCAGGGGCCTAGTTCAAAGGGGATTGTGCTTGGAAATACCCCGGCCATGATTGGCTGGAAGTTAGCCCTAACTCAGGCAGAAAACAATGTATTAGGAATATCCAGCAAGCAAAGAGAGTGTGCAAAAATATGTATATATACGCATATTTTGTGCTATTGCCTTGCGAGATGCGACAAATTCTCTTGATCTTCACAAAGAAATAATCACTCGTCATGGCTAGCACTATCAACATGGCAAGTGAGCATGTGGTCGAACAACTAAATCAAACCCATGCCGCCAACGAAAAGCATTTCGATTCAGGGGAGGTCATGCGAGACATGATTATTGGTCTGGCTGATGGAATGACTGTGCCGTTTGCTCTGACGGCTGGTCTATCTACCCTAGGCTCTTCCAAGCTGGTCATCCTCGGTGGTCTTGCTGAACTCTTCAGTGGGTCGATCTCAATGGGCTTAGGGGCCTATCTTGCTGCTGTAACTGATCGAGACCATTATGCGAGCGAGGAAAAACGAGAGCGTGAAGAGGTTGTCTCCAAGCCAAATGCAGAAAAGGAGGAAATCCATGAGATTCTCTCCAATTACGGGATTTCTCGAGAGGCAAGCCAGAATGTTGTGGATTGCCTGTCTGAGAACCATGAAAACTGGATCCGGGTATGTCAGCATGCTAGATAAGAATCAATGGTGATATTGGCTAACGTCGGGACCTAGTTCATGATGGACTTTGAGCTGAAAATGGAGGAGCCGAACGTATCCAGAGCGTGGATTTCGGCAGCAACGATGGGGATCTCTTATTTCATCGGTATGGATATCTGCTCTGCTATTCTTTCCTCCATCCACGACTTATCTGAGGACCTGACTAACACGCGAGTACTTGTTTCTAGGCGGCCTCCTTCCCATGATACCCTACTTCGTTATGCACAAGGTTGTCGACGCATTGTTCGTATCCATCGGGATCACAATTGTGATTCTGGTCGGCTTCGGCTTCATCAAAAATTATGTTGTGATCAAGACGAAACAAGCAGGACTGTACGGAGCGGCACAGGCCCTGTTAGTTGGCACCATCGCCGCTGGAACCAGTTACGGGATTGTGTATGGCATCGATCATAGCAACCTTTATACATAGCGTGTTGCGCTTCCCCGAGTCAAACACAGTCTGTTATCTATGGGGGAAATTGCATATGGAACTTTATAAATGAGGGGGCTACTGAAAAAACGCATAGTTATAGCCCGACTGGAAGATTTAGACATTTTTGAAAATTTGGAAATCCTATGTGACGAAAGACAGCATGAACATTTCTCAAAGCCACTAAGGCTCTTCGATCTATCACCATCTCAAATAAAATATTTCATGATTTTTGCAAAGCCCGGTTCTTGCATTCTTACACAATCGCTAAGATCACATACCATGCCTTTCAATTTACGTTCAAACGCTATATGCTGATCTCATATAATGACTCTTCTCATAGTGAGCAAGATTTGCACCCAATAACCGAACGCCCTCACACCGGTAAATCTTCGAAGACGCTCAGAAACCACCAGTATATTGTAGTGGTCTCCGCTGAGCCAGTCAGACATGATGGGCCTGAAATCTGCATGAGATCAACTGAAATTGATGAAAGCACTGATAAAGACTCGTGGTTTTTCTTCCGTATTCCAATTCGCCCTGAACAGCACCGCAATAAGACCTACACCGTGATCACCACAGCGATAGAATTGTTGATCACCACAGATCACGATGCATATTACCAAGTGAGCCTGATATCGCCATTTCAGAATTGCAAAGAATTCGATGATATGTCCAATGTCCTATGAACAATACCAAGTTTTGACTTCCCCATTACTGCAGAACAGGAAATTTCCCAGGTTCTGGTCCCAAAACTCAGCTCCGTGCTCATATAGAGTCTTAAGGGCCTTTTCAAGTTGAGTCTCCAACGTCTTCTCGTGGACATCAGATTTAGAGCGTTGACGAAGAGTGATTCCATCAATTTCCGAGAGGATAAGCGCCGGACACACATTGAAAGAACCTTGCCCAAAAAGAGTTGGAATTAAGGTCCCTCGAAGCATTTTCAATCTATCGTATGCATGTATCTCATTCCGGAACTCGTCATCCCATCCATCCTTCCTTTACTTGACAATGACTGATTTTAGAAGACCAAGACCAGGCTGGTCAAGTTACAAGCGGCATAAAGTTGGACGACAGTTTTTCAGCACCGTAACCGAAATCACAGTTATGGGCCTGTCATCTAGATAGACCGTCTACTGCTGAGTGAGCTTGGTAAAGTCTTGCATTAATGTCTAGAAATCGGATCTCACCTGAGAAGGATGCACTTCTTGAACAATATAATCCATGACGTGAAGGGCGAATAGTGCAGGTGGGAGAATCTAAGACTAGAAAAGTTAGAGGAAGGGAGTATGATATGGCAGAGCTAGAGGAAGCAAGGGTTCCAGGGAGGGAAGTCAAAAAGCAAAAAAAAAATGCTAGACCTACATCAGGCTTTGTATTGAGATATGGTAACTGTATGGATATGTACATGGGAGACATGGAGCTGATAGAGTAGCATACACCTGCCATTGATCATCTTTTCAGCCTCGGAAAAGATGGATATCTAACTCAAATGTCGATTTAACCAATTCGGTTGAGATGTTTCCCTAAAGCTTGCTATCTTGTTGTCAGTTATACTCCTCGCTCCCTCCATCCATGGATGGTGGATGTTCGAGGTAATGAGTCAGCAAAATTCCCTCCCGCCGGGCGCACTAACCGCTTGTGGAATGTAGCCTCAATTCTTTCCCCAAGCCTGAGAGATATAGCTGGGACCATTTAATTGTGGCGAAGGCGAAGAAAAACACAGAATTTCATCCTAACAGATTTATTGAGCTGAGCGCACTGGAGAAAAAGTGGCAGCGTTGCCTTTGATCGCATTTGTCCCAGCCCACCCGAGAGGAAACCGAAACCAACTGCCAGCAACATCAATTGGACTCAAAGCTGGCGCGAATGAAATTACGACCACAATATTCACAAGTCTGATACAAAACCAATGAGTATGGATGATCAGCGGGGGTCCAGAACTGCCCCCTTCTACGCAGTGCCATCCTGTCGCCTCGTCAGCGTCGAGCACCCTGCCGTGATCCGCAATGTCGACAAGGCGATCGAGACCTTACAAGGCGATGCCGGAATAAAAACAGTGAGGAAGCTTCTCCTTCTGGCAGAATATAGAACACACACTGATATTATACAGATTCTCAACCCGGCCACAGACGGCACACTAGTTAATCTGGTGTTGCGGCCAGAAGATGCCATGGCTCGATCGGTGCAGTCAACGAGCATCCAATCAAACAATGTCCTGCTCAAAATCACAGTCCCCAAGCGGACAGGACGGAAGCGCAAGAGAGGCTCGAATGAGCCTTTCGCAGACGCACCGGAGTCAGAAGCAACTGACGCACCCCGGCGACGGACCGCTAAGGATCTCCTGCGCAGTCTGAGTGATAACCCCTCTAAGTACCAGATTGAGCCGGTCGGGAGGGTTGAACGAACACATGTGTTTCGGGGTAATTTCACTGCTCTGATTTAATCATGGCGAGTATGCTAATATCTGATATCAGGAATACCTGATTTCGTTTACTCGACTACGGCAAGTTCATTTACGAACCGGTTCCGAGACCAAATTCTCCCTTTTGACTGTGAGTCTGCTTGCCATGAAACCCACTCGATATGTGACTAACAACCCACAGTCGACAAGATGAAGCAATTTGACATCGACATGGCCAAAGGCGCCGCCGAGAATGCAGATCTGATCCCGCCACCATCATTCAGCCACGGAGACGTCCCCTTCCACTACATGTAAGAGCCACCCCATCGAAAGCACCGAGCTAAGACCACCAGTCCACTAACTCTCCCTCCCAGCTATCGGCAAAACCCGACAGTAAAACAAGCAATTGGCAGCTCCGGCAAACTAGAAACAGTGAACACGCAAACCGCCAATAAAATCCTAACCCACCTAGTCCCCTACGACATACCCAAAGTGCCATCCGAGCCGCGCGCGGACATGCTTCCAATAAGCGCACTAGACGCAGGCATGCTCCGGACAATCGCGACACTAAACGCCCTATACGAAAAACAGCCCGCCTGGACACGTCGCGGACTACGCAACAACCTAACAACCGACGAAGACCGTCTGAACCTCCGCCATGCAATTCCATACGTGGGCTACATCTTCCGATCCGGGCCATGGCGCGACGCGATCATCAAGCTTGGTCTCGATCCACGCACTTCACCAAAGTACCGACATTACCAAACCTTTATGTTCCGACTTCTAGCACGGGAAGCGGAGGTCGCACGAGACGGAGGCGGCGGGCGACGCCACAATGTGCCACGACCGAGCGACCAGCGCATGGGCGAGGACGAAGCCGCCAGCGGGCCATCGACGGGCCATATCTTTACCGGCAAGCAGCCGTTTGCGCAAGACGGACGGATCTGGATGGTGGGCGAGATCAAGGACGCGCAGCTGCAGGCTGAGCTGTACCCTTCTGATGCGGGGCCTGGGTTCCTGCGCAGCGAGTGCGATATTGTGACCGATGGGTGGTTTGGGAATGGCACGCTTGCGAAGGTGAAGACAGTTATGCGACATAAGATCCAGGCGTTGATGGAGGGGCGGGAGCCGGTTGATGAAGATTATACGAAGATTATGCAGCTCCCTGCGCATGCGCGGTCTGAGGCTGATTTCCCGTTGTTCACGCTTGATCCCGAGGTTGCGACGCAGAAGGAGATTAGTCTTGCTACGGAGGTTCGGGCGGTTATCCGGGGTTCGCCGGTTTGGAGGAATTTGTCGGCTAATGCTGGGTTGGTTAGGAGGGAGATCGGGGAGGGGAGGGGGAAGGTCAAGGGGAAGCAGGCTGTGAAGGGGAAGAGTGCTGACCCGGAACCGGAGCCGGAGCCTGAGAAGGTCGATGAGGAGAGTGAAGGTGAAGAGGAAGAAATTCAGAGGAGGGAGATGCTGGCTGCTCAGGTTGCGGATGCTGCTGCGGCGAGAGATGCCGATGAAGCTGATTATGACGATGAGGCGGACGGGGACGGTGATGGGGACGATAGTGATGATATGGATGAAGACGACGACGAGTAAAGTGGCTATTAAATTACTAGATGATTGGCTACGTCTAGAACAAATGGTACTTTATGCTCAAGATAGTAATCAAAATAATCACTTTATTCGTTGCTAAAGCCATAGACAGACTCGGAGTATATCGTGAAGCATCAGACACAACATAGAGGTAACCCATCAATTAGACAGGATAAAGAAAGCCAACCCGAGTGGTCGTAATAGTGAAGCAAAACAGATACATAATTCAAGCGCTATAGGTACCAAATCACCCGATAGACTGAACACCAGTGTCCAAAAAGCGACGAACACCATGACCCTTCGTATAGTTATACGGCTCGAGAGTTTGAAGTTTTCGGAATGGTACTTAGTATTATGTTACCTGCCAGATCGATTCGAAAGAAAAGAGTGCATTCCAACCCAAATACTGAGTAAAGAGAGAAGAGAAAAGGAAACCTATCTACGTGCTCTTCCTTCCTTCCCTGCAAACTATGCAAAGCTTACGTTCGAGGAAGGTGCGACTTCCTCGGCGAGTAGAAGGTACAAACACAGATAAGGCAAGTGCGGTTGACAAGCACATTATGTTCCTTTGCCTGACTTCCGTTAGAAAAACATGATGGTAAGACCTGATCAGTCATATAAGGAAAAAAAATATAAAATCAACTGAGGTGCCGTCACCTGGTTGGAAAATCAAGCCAATTACATAAGCATTTTTACTCGAACCCGCAACCACAGCGGTTTCCCTTACCTCTTTTCACTCAACTCACACCTTCTTACCTACGTCAAATTTTGACGTCAATATCGCAAGCAAACATATCAAGACCCCACAAGATAATATGAAAAAGAAGATTTGCAGCCGAGATGTTCAGGCATCCCCAAGGGGTCGCACCTGACGACGTATCTTCAGCATTCAGTCAAATACTCAAGCCTCTACCGGTCATATCGTGGGGACAGCTTGCAATGCATTATTTGGGTGTCCCAATTGGAGCAGGTGTCAGTATTTTCTTTCTTACTATTTGGTCTTATTCTTACTGACTATCATGGCAGCATCACATGTTTGTTGTCCGAGACGAACATCATCAGACGGCGATTCAGAAGCTCAAAGACTCTGGATTCTCTCAAGCCCCTCCTGATCGCCGGGCCGCCCCAGAAATTATGGAGTCTCTCCCAGATCCGCAAGCCGTCCTTGATCAGATTAACAAGGGCTACGAACGCCTAGACCGTTATTGCACGTCATTCCAGTTCCCACCTCACCTTCCATTCAGCGGGGATCAAATATTCTTGATGCCCAACTCCTTCGCGCATTTACCACTGGACAATATCGACATGGCTTCAAATCAGTCAAACCAGAAGGCTCAACCAACGCAATATAAAGTGTATGGCAACTTATTCTACCCGCTTGAAGCAACATTGGTTGAGAGCTTCGTTAAAGGAGTCATTGATGACATCGACGAGCTTGGATTTTCGCAGTGGCAGTTGCTACTAAAAGCCTGGATATCAATGATGCGAGGCTATCTCGAAGTCAGCAATGATATCCTTGATGACTGTGCGGATGAGCGGGCGGTAGAATGGTTCAGCAAGCACTTTGGTCGGATTCGCGAAGAGAAATATGGTGCATGGGGCCTCCGGGTTTCAAAACGCCTTGGTTCTGGAAAAGAATTGCCAGTGAACATGAGGGGAAATCCTATTCTCTGATACTTCTACTGCTTGAGGAGGCCAGCGATGAGTTGTAAAATCCAGATAAATGAATGAGGAGAATAGAGCGTTAAGTAATTCTCGAGTGCGTGATGTATAATTTATGCAATGTATGTAGGTAAAGTTGATAGCGTGTATAAACTGACAAGAACGACAATGGGGGTACCAGTTGCCGAAGATCGCTAGGCATTTGATCTTTTGCTCTAGAGCCTGTCGCATTTCCGGCCAATTTTTCAGTAGATCTTCCAATGCAGCTCTCAACTCTTCGATATGTCTAAATTCGAGTTCCGGCGTACCAGGCACATTAAATTGATTAAGTGTATGCTAATCAAATCAAAGCAGAGTGAATGACTGTTAAGATCTGAGTGTACATCGTGTGGAATATATAGAAACATCAAACCAACCGGCCTTGATATATTGGTCCACTTCATCGGTAAATTAGTAGATATCAATTCTTCTCTACTTATTCACAATCACACGAGCGGCCGACGACACAAAAAACAACGGTTCTAAATTCGTAAGTGGCTGCTTGGTCCGTTCTATGGCCAATGGCAGCCAGTATGTAGCCGCCAGTCCCCCTTCGTTCGTGCTCACGTGCATATTTATCATTGCGCCTGCAGCAGCTACGTTAACTGGAAACCAAGTCAGAGGCTCTCAGGCCGAGAATAGGTGGTTTCATCTCAAAATATTTCTCAGTCAGAGTGGATCTTTGCCCTTGAGATGGGCCATCAACCGCTGCAATTGTGTATTTCCTCCCCTTCTGTCTTGAGCACGCCCAAGAGGAGTAAGCTTGTCATGACCCATTATACTAAACATACGATCTATATACTGGCAGATGAGGTCCATATTGGATTCCTAGGATGTATGAAGACAGATTATACACCCAATGTACGCAAAATTCCGATCCATGCTTACTGACCCCAAAAGTACCGGTGGAGCGATGCCTATATTTTATTACAATTCTCTGAGAGTAGACATGAAAACCTGACAGATCAAGGCCAAGAAATTCATAAAGACCTCATGCTAACGAGAACAAAAGAAACTAAGTAAAAACTTGAAGCCATAGTTCTGCAGGGCTGTACCTTGAAGAAACTCGGAGCGGAACAACCACCACCGATATGACTGCCAAATGCGGACTAGTCTTTCTTTCGGGGTCTCTGCGATAGCCCGCGTCCTCTGTTCTGCTCTCGTGAATATCGCGCCGCATACAATCCCCAACTTTCTCCCCATCTCCCTCAGCCTCTCCTCCCCTGCGGGGTAATTCCATTCACTCATTCGCTGTCCGGACTTAATTCATTTCAATGGATTAGGCAGTTTTGTTTTCCCGAAAGAGTAAATGACTTGATGGTTTCTTTCGTTTTAAGTTCTACAGTCTCCGATCTTTTCGCATATCGACCGAGTCCACAGAGCTTCCGTGACACCACAACACAACATATGAGAGCTCAATTCCCCCCCGGGAAGACTGCGCACACTCCGCTTTCCTCAGCCGGCCTCTTGGCCCGGCCGTCATTGCTGTTTCTTTCCATTTAGTCGCCAGCCCGTGAGAAGGGTCAGATCAAAGCGATGGAGCGAAACATAGATATCTACGCCAGCAAGCTCGGCGACGAAAAGCTGGGTATGTTGATGAAATCTACACGACTAGAACTGTTGTCCCCTTCCTGTGCTAACTAACCCGTCATCTCAATAGACGTCAAAGTCCGAGCCAATGTTGCTACCGAATTACGAGACAGCATTGAGCCCCTATGCTCGGGCGCAAGCTATCCCATATTCTTAGCGAAGCTATGGCCGGTATTCAAAACTATTTTGAAGGGGGACCCGGTCTTCTTCAGCATGTCTTACGACCAGGTGAGATTATTGGCACACGCTTGCCCCCAGTGAATGTTGCGCATAACGAGCTAACAACTTTGGTCATCTATTAGAAATTACGAAATTGTATCCTCGAAACATTACACCGATTACCGATGGGATCCCCGGACGTGGAGCCGTACGCTGTCGATATGGTCGATCTATTGATGGAACTTGCGCGGATCGAAAACGAAGACAATGCCGTGCTATGCATGAAGACAATCATGGATTTGGAGAGGAATCAAGCCAAAGCCACCGCACACCGGGTGCAGGCTTTCTTGGAGCTTATCCAGGAAATGTTTCAGACCATGGAGCAAGTGGTTCGGGATACTTTCGACACTCCTAACCAGGCCACACCGTCGGGAATGCCATCGACGCCCAATGCAACAGCACAGAACTTCCAGTCTCCGCGACCCAGCTCGCCTGCCACCTCAGTATCAGATCTGGGACCCGATCAGCAGTCGAGCAATGTTCTCCTCAAGGGCATGCAATCTTTCAAGGTCCTCGCAGAGTGCCCGATTATTGTCGTTTCGATCTTCCAGACACACCGCGCATCGGTGCCGGCCAACGTCAAGCTGTTTGTGCCGCTTATCAAAACGATTTTGCTGCTTCAGGCGAAGCCACAGGAAAAGGCCCACGCCGAAGCAGCAGCCCAAGGCACAATATTTACGGGTGTGTGCAAGGAAATCAAAAATCGCGCTGCATTTGGGGAGTTCATCACGGCTCAGGTGAAAACGATGAGCTTCTTGGCATATCTCTTGCGTCTTTATGCCCATCAGTTACAGGACTTCCTTCCAACGCTTCCTTCTGTTGTCGTCCGTCTCCTTCAAGATTGCCCGCGAGAGAAGTCCGGTGCGAGGAAGGAGTTGTTGGTAGCTATTCGTCACATCATCAACTTTAACTATCGTAAGATCTTCCTTGAGAAGATTGATGAGCTTTTAGACGAGCGCACTCTTATCGGAGATGGCCTTACTGTCTATGAGACCATGAGACCATTGGCTTACAGCATGTTGGCCGATTTAATACACCATGTTCGTGAGCATCTGAGTCGCGACCAGATACGGCGAACGGTTGAAGTCTACACTAAAAACCTCCACGACGATTTCCCTGGCACCAGCTTCCAAACGATGAGTGCAAAGCTTCTTTTGAACATGGCAGAGAACATCTCTAAACTAGAGGACAAGCGTGAGGCGCGGTATTTCCTAATTATGATTTTAGATGCTATTGGTGACAAGTTCGCATCGATGAACCACCAGTTCAAAAACGCTGTCAAGGTTTCAAGGGCGTACAAAGTTTTCCGACAAGAGACCGAGCCATGCGCCGAGAACTACCTTGCTGAGAAGGACCAGCCACCGGACTGGGATGAGATTGATATTTTCTCGGCTTCTCCTATCAAGACATCTAGTCCACGCGATCGTGGAGGTGACCCGGTTTCGGACAACATCTTCCTCTTCCGAAACCTGATCAATGGGTTAAAGAATATCTTCCGGCAATTGAAAAATTGCAACCCAGACGATGTTCAAATTGACCCGAACAGCGTTCCCATTAACTGGTCAGAAGTTTCGTACGGTTACAATGCAGAGGAAGTTAGTGTGATCAAGAAGCTTTTCCACGAAGGAGCTCGTGTGTTCCGCTACTATGGGGTGGATCAGTCTCCCCCTGAGATGAACTACGCATCTCCGTTTGACTTCCTTGCTAGCCAGTACACTGCCCCAATGTCGCGCGAAGAAAAGGAGCTTCTTGAAAGTTTCGGTACTGTTTTTCACTGCATTGACACCGCGACCTTCCACGAAGTCTTCCATTCCGAGATCCCGTACCTACACGAGCTTATGTTTGAACATGGGGCTCTCCTTCACCTGCCCCAGTTCTTCCTGGCTAGCGAGGCCACTTCTCCCGCATTCTCTGGCATGGTGCTGCAGTATCTCATGGAACGCATTGATGAGGTTGGAACTTCAGACATGACGAAGGCAAAGATACTTCTGAGGATGTTTAAGCTTTCCTTCATGGCCGTGACCTTGTTCTCCGTGCAAAATGAGCAGGTCCTCCACCCGCATGTGACGAAAATCGTAACCAAGTGCATTGAGCTTTCAGTCACAGCCGAGGAACCTATGAACTACTTCCTTCTTCTGAGGTCTCTCTTTCGAAGCATTGGTGGAGGACGATTTGAGCTCCTGTACAAAGAGATCCTCCCACTTCTAGAAATGCTTCTTGAAACGTTCAACAACCTATTACTTGCTGCCCGGAAGCCTCAAGAACGGGATCTGTACGTGGAACTCACCCTCACCGTTCCTGCGCGACTCAGCCACCTCCTCCCTCATCTCAGCTATTTAATGCGCCCAATCGTGGTCGCCTTGCGTGCCGACTCTGATCTTGTTGGTCAGGGTTTGCGCACTCTTGAACTCTGCGTGGACAACCTCACGGCAGACTACCTTGATCCGATCATGGGCCCAATAATGGACGAGCTGATGACTGCACTCTGGGATCACCTGCGCCCATCTCCTTACAACCACTTCCACGCACACACCACTATGCGCATCCTGGGAAAACTTGGCGGGCGGAATCGGAAGTTCCTCAACCACCCACCAGAATTGTCGTTCCAGCAGTATTCTGATGATAACCCAAGCTTCGATATCAGGCTGATCGGTCCCAACGAGAAGCGGCCTTTCCCTGTAGATATCGGTATTGATCTCGCTGCGGGGAAACTCATGGAGGTTCCTAAGACAGACTCCGGGAAAGCTTCAGACATTTACTACAAGCAGCAGGCCTACCGCATGCTCAGCTCTCATCTCAAGCTCCAAATCGGTTACGACAACATCCCCGAAGACTTGACAATCTTGATCAGACTCCATGCCAATGATCTGTTCGAAAATAAGACAGGTGCTATGGCAGATATTCTTGACAAGTCGGAAAGATCGGCCTCTATTCCAAAGAAGATTGCGCAGGAAGCAACAGTAAAGAAACTGATCAAGGCTTGCATCTTTGCCACCACTATCCCCGAGCTCGAACCAGCCGCTACAGCCTTTGTGGCGGATGTGTGCAAGCACTTCGCTCTTGTGGAGGTCGGCCGTGCCCTGGCTCAAATCCGACACAGTCGCAAAGCCTTTGACGTCGCAAACGGGGAAGGCCCTGTGTACCTCGACTCTAGGATTCTGGCC